CCCACCCAAGCTACTCTGCTGCTGCTAGCCCTGCTCAGCCTACAGAAGGAGCAGCAAGACTGACTGAATAAAATCCTGAGCAATCAGAGCTGACCCTGCTTTGGGCTGAAGGTTGACTAGAGACCTCCTGAGCTCCCTTCCAACCCTGTATGTTCTGTGGTTCTAAGTTTTCAAGCAGGAATATTAAGAGAAATTTACAGAAACTCCAGCTCTGTAACATATTCCCCTCATGGGTTACATTTCCCTTCTTTCAGATTTTCCCCTAATACTAAATGATTGGCAAACGGTCAACTGGAAAGATCAGGATCTGGGCAACACATGTCCAGGGGCTAGTCACGTTGCATCATCCCTAATCAGAACCTTACTTACCTTTGGGTGCTTCTGCTCAGCAGATTTCCAAGCTGTTCCTCCTGGCTGCCTTTTTTTCAAGGTCCTAAAACTTCGGTGTTCATAGATTATTTTTCACTGCACTCACTGATGCACTGCTGACCTGAATGCAGCTTGACAACTTTCCTGAATGCTGTAGTATCTTTTAGTTGTGTTGGAGCATCCACAATGAAAAGACAAAAATAAAATGCAACAAAAATGCTACAAAAGACGGTGCAATTAAGGCAATGTATCACACTGTAAAACATAAGAAAAACTACAGCTCAGCTCCTGGGCAAGGAAAGGCTGTAATTTACTGTAGCAAGACAAAGCATATGCATCAAATTACTCCCATGTTTCAGAATCTCTCTCATATACAAGCATCAGCAAAATTGACTGTACACTTGCACACAATCAGCAAACAGAAAGTAGAAGCTTTTATTTTTTACATAGTTCGTTATAACCCTTCTGTTTCTTTTTCCCCTCCAAATATGCCTCTGGTGGTTACCAGAGGTATATTCATATCAGCACACTCACCCACCTGACCCGAATGGTTCATTTCCCATTCATTTTCCTTACAAAAAGAGAAGAAAGTAGGTTTTCCCCAAGGGTGATTCAGAGCAGCTGATGCCTTAGAAGCACACCTCTGTTCCCTCCTGTCTTACAAAAGCTTAACAAGATAAGCTTTCTAACCTAAATTCAGTGCCTGAAAAAGGTGGTGTGCTTTTTTTTCCCCCTTATCTCTTCTTTAGGGCTACACATACTAGTGGACACCTCTTTGTATCTTTAAAGATCATATCCACAGGGGTTTGTTTTGTTTCTTCCCCTATTTGTCTTTAACCAAAAATGGAACAGTATAAAAAAAAAAGAGTAATTTTGCACAATACTATTTTCTTACATTGTGAAAAAGGAACCATTCAGGAAAGGATGAAATGCTTTCCAGTGCTTTCACAGGCTTTGGAAATTCATTAAATTACAAACTGTTAGTGTCCTGTTAGGCAATCTCCTGCAGCAGAATAAATCTTGGACTCAGGCCTCCATAATACAAGTGACCTTGGATGAAAGCCACAAAAATGGCAGCAAAATAAACTAGCCTATGTCCTTTGACATTATGTTTAAGTAGCTGGTGCTTTTTTTTTTTTTTTTTTTTTTCTGCAGCAGTACTGGCAAAAAGTAAAATATGGAGGTAAAAGTCAATTGCAACTCCCTTCCCGTATGCAAAATGAAATAATTATTTTTTTCTTTCTCCAAAATCAGGAGCAGAGCAAGAATATTGAGCTATAAACTACTTGGAGTTTATAAACAAAACAATTCTATTTTTCCTGCCATTGTTAAGCTAGGATCTGTTTGCCTCATGGTTTTTCTATCTTCCCAACCTGCGATAGTTACAGAATTTCATTCAATCAGGCCCCAATTCAGTAATCAGGCACTGAAACACTTGCTCAAGATCTGCATAAAAACACTTGACACAATAGTGTATAGAAGCACATTAGTAAGAGAATCGAGTGATTAATAATCTATGCTCTGTGGCAATAACTATTGGCAACAAATCTGCCTTCATTTCCGCAGTTCTTCCTAATTCAGTACCTCCCAGTCACACACCACAGGCACCCCTAAGAGCAGCACATGTGAGAGGGGGAAGAGGTGTGCACATGAGAGGAGGTTGTACATGTGAATGCATGTGGGAGGAGGGATCCAGAATCACAGCTGAGTGGGAATATTTCTTTGTTTACAAGAAGCAGAAGCTGAAGATCCAAGGCAAGATCCTGATGTCCTGGAAAATCACTGTATCCTAAAGCTACACGATGGATAGAAAAGTGAGGGGGTAACAAAGTCTAGCCAGAGCAGACAGGAGATAAATACAAGCACTCTCCCCCATCCCTCTGTAAGGGGGAGCAAGGCATGATTTGCAACCACAAGCAGACGCTGCTTCAGTTGTGCAGTGGCAGTGGTTTTTCAGTATGCGTGTTTTATTTGAAGAATATCAATCATTCAGTAATAGAAAATCCCATTAAACAATCAGATATGCCCTTGCAACAGTCAGGAGGAAGAAACCACAAAAACTGAGGCAGCCTGAGACTGCACAACTCCTTCTTCTGGAGAGAATAGCCTTTGGCAACCAGAAACATCCTTTGGTTCCTCCAGCCAGGTGGCTCAAACACCCCTGGGTTCGGAAACCAGCCGTACTGACAGAGGAGCACAGTGGCAATCTCCTTACCTTCATCTTCCTGGACACTTACCTGTATGAAATCAGCAATCCTTTTGATCAATGAAGCAACGGATAAATGTTCTGTAATTGAACGTCACAAGTAGTGACTTCCTTGGGGCAATTTCCATGCTCGTTTTTCCAGTGAAATCAGTGTCTGGGGGGCTTCTTGGGCATGGACTCTCTCTTGGCTAGCCTGTTTGTTTTTTCCCCTCACAATGATGAAGGCAGATCCCATCAGTCTTTCTTCAAAACAATCATACAGATTAACCTAATCATGCTGCTTACCCTAACTGAATTGATTCTTGTTGGGCAAAATTCAGCAATCACGGTCTGTGCTGTACTGAGGAACCAGACTCCACGTAGCTGTTTAATCTCAGATTTGAGTGGTCTGCACATAGAAACGATAGCTGCTTCCGATCAGTGCACAGTCAGACACATTATGGCGTGGTTTCGTTCAACGCCCTGCGCCCTCCAGAAACACACTTATGGCAGGAGGAAAACGTAAGACAGGGTTTGCCTTCTCCACACCCACAAAGCCCTTCCAGAACGCAGCCACAGCTGCTACTGAGGTGCAGATGTCAGCTCCACAGCTGTGGTCAGATGCCTACGTTTACACAGCCATTTAGCCCCACTCCTGCACTCTGCACAACCTCTCGAGGCAGAGTCAGGTGCGAGGCATGTTGTACTAAAAAGGGCTGTATGGATTATTTATAATTAACTGAGCAGGGAGACTTGGAAGCTGCAGGAACCCTTATAGTTGTTGCTGCTGCATGCTCTGTTCTACAAGGTGCCGAGAGATAAAAGGCCAGGAACTTCAATAATAAAGAAAACAACCATTATTCATATACTGATATGACCTTCCCAGACTGCATTTTTTATTCTGAATTTCATTTGTATGACTATTATAGAGGCTTTTTCTAATGTGCACACAAATCCATGTAGCTTGAACTCTTCCAGAAAAAGCACAAATTCAGTCAGAAACTGCATGGGAATGGTTAAAGTCCCATCAATTGAATCAAAAAGGTAATTAAATTGTTTAAATTATGCATTTAACATACCCGATACCAAGAGAAAGCAAACATTGATCAACTTTCATCCTTACTGGGGACTAACTAAAAGAAATTACCATTTTAAAGGATTTGGAATTAGTATTCAGCTTAAGAATTCATCTTCGTCTAAAAGATCGACGCGGTCAGAGGGCAGGAGGAGGCAGGAGAGCCATGTATTTACTTCAGTGAAAAATACACTCTTTCAGAGTCTGCTAGAAGTGGCAATCACAGCCTACACCTTCACAGCTAATGCCGTGTGTTTGTTAATACCTGCAGAGAGGCCACAAGCTTCCCAACAGCCTGAGAGGTGGTATAGATGATACCACAGGTCACCTGAAGTTCTACTCCCACGTGATTAGGTTCCCCTCAAAGCCTCAAGAGGAACTGGCAATCAGCATGTCACTCATCACCCAGCTGAGAACCGTTTTTTCTGCAGGAGAGCTCATGACACCAAGCAACCCACACAAGATACGATGAAACAATGCCACTGCTAGACAGGTTAAAACTGCAGCTCACTCGAGCTCACTGGTACTAAGCAATTTCATAAATGAAGTATGTTCTGGCAGAGCTTCTCCGGAAGGTATTAACCGTGCTACAAACACTAGGACCTAGCAAATGCCTTGGGTGAAATCCTGCCTCCATAAGAGCCAATGGTAAAACTCCCAGGCACTTTTACAGAACCAGAATGTTTCTCTCTCTTGCCAGCTGCAACACGCTGCTATGACTTTGGGCAAACTACACTAACCCAGCCTCTCCATGACGATTATGTGCCACCAACCACTGCTCTCAGAGATACTGTGGAGGAATTGCAAAAGTGCCCTGTCTAGAGAAGGGCAAGCATTACCAAACAGCGCAATCTAACGAACAGGCTACTGTAGGAACTCACCGTGATGGAAGTATTCCGCTGATAAAAATATCAGGCTCACAGTTTCACGCAGGATTAATCTCTTGTTCTGTGAAGTTTTGGTACAAACTGTCTGCTTTGTGAATTCCACACACAGAAGGCTGGTCCAAACTCTGGTGCAGGAACACAAGATCACTATCTTCACTGTTCTGACAGTTTTGGAAATTGTATTGGGACGATCCATAATGATCTCATCTACACCAAACATCAGTTACGTTCGTTTGCACGCAAACCATTCACATGAAGAGTGGACTTTGCAAGTCTGAGATTAACAAACACAAACTGCTACACAAATGCACATTAACTCTGGATAACAAGCACATTTGTTTAAAATTAATTCTGGGGTGTTCTTGTAAATAAGTTTTATGGCTGTATGAAGAGAGGCTATAAACTGAGATTGGGCTCCTTGGTAGGTGGCATGTTACATTTTTTTAAGAAATATTATTCCTCCCATATAAATGCACAACAGATGTAACATTTGACCTAAGCAATAAGATTTATTACTATTTTTAAAGCAAATTCAGCACAGCTTACGAGAACACTGTACAGAATTCTTCAAGTTAGAAAGAGATTCTTCTCGTCATCAATACGTGTTTTGCATTTGTCAATTCTTGCCCTCAAAGCCAACCCACAGCGTAGTATTTTAGGTTTCTTACAAAGGTGATGATCCTGCAATCCAACCTGAAAACGTTACACAGAGTGGTCTCCCTCTAGTCATTGCAGTCATGGGCTCATATCTTTGCATTTAATTATCAAAAGAAATCTGCATGGCCTCTTTGGTCTCCTTTTGATCCAAAAAAATATTTCAGGTGATTTATGTTAAGCATATTACCAGCAGCACATGCAATTCAAAGCTGTTTTCACACAAAGTTTGGCTATGACAAAAAACATTACAGCCATGATCAAAGAACAGAATCTCACTTATATTGTTTAATATTAATTTCTTTACCTCATGCACTTTTGTATAAATATTTATTGTTTCACATTTTCTCCAGAGGCCATAGTTCTTCCATTTTCTAAAAATAACCTGCTTATGTACAGTCTTGTCCTTTCAAAGCACTGTTCTTCTTCCTCTGAGGTCCATTGCCAAGATCTCTGTTCGCAGAAAATAGTGAGAGAGGGATACGTGCAGCTTTACTTACACAAACGTTGAAAAAAATGAGGAAAACTTCTTGGAGAATCACCTTGAATAGTAAACAGTCCCGTGAAATACCGATAGGCCTCCACATCAAGCAGTAATTCTGCATTTTGAGTGAGGGCAAAAAAATTGAAACATAACAGAACATATTAAAATCTCATTTCAAGAAAACACTCGTTTTTGTTGCTCAGCAGCTTCAAGTGGTAAATCATTTGCCAGATTTTGCACTTCATTTTATATACCATAATCCAGGATGGGCCAGTAGGCAACTTCTGACCAACCCTCTCCATTCACCTCAGGTGAACCCCAGAGCTGATAAAGTTCTGTTCACATTGGAGAAATCAATCCATCTGAAAGTACACCTCCCACCCCACCATGCACACAGCCAAGCAGTTAAAGCTGTGAGCCTCTGTACAGCCTGTGAAGGGAATCCTAGCATTAACTTACCACTTTCACCTCATTTTTTTCCTGATATGAACAACTACCCATTTGTAATCAAGATTGCTTTCAGATCCTGAGTTCACAGCACTGCACCAAACCTGGGGCTGCCCAAGAAGTCAAGCACATTCTTATCTCTAGAGAAAGGCATAGAACAAAGCTGTTGAACGCTCCTCTAGAAGATCCAGATAAAATCAGGAACAATGCAGGATCATATCAAACGCATCAACTCCATTTAAATGGATGCTTTCCTGATTCCTACATCATCACAATTGCATATGCCTGCAGATTCTCTTTGAACTGCTGTTCCCCAAAATTCATTAGTCAGGGAATAGTTGGTCGGTTAGCTCCCTTGACATAGCGATTTGGTAGGAGGTATGTTGACAATTTTTAAGAAAAGTTGTAATCCCACTGAGTGTCTCCCACTGGTGATTGCACATCAGCCAAGACAAGATGTTCCCAGACTTTTCAAAGGGATGCATCTTTTCTCTGCTAAAGAAAATCCCACAAAATCTTTATGTCATATTAACAGTTGTCAGATTCAGGTTACTGACGTCTGGACAGATGTTGCATATTTTAAAGTATCTCAGCGCATTCGAATTGAGTAATGTGATTAGATCTGCAGAGCTGAGAAGTTTCTATCTGTCTAGTGCACAAACACTGCTTTAGTTCTCATTCATTTTACACTGTTGTTTTACTTTTTGTTTTATGGGATGGGGCTTTTTTTGTTTATTTGTTTACAGAAGTACCAGCAGTGGAAGAGATGTCAAAATAAAGCAGCTTGGCCTGTTCATACATCCCCTTTATGATATGGTTTTATGCTAAGACTTTCTGCTACCTGGCACAGTGTCTGGCTTCCTCTAGCAAACTCAGAATATCCATCTTTACTGTATCCCATCCGTTTGGGTTAAGATACAACAACTGAGAGAAGAAGAGTGCTATTTTCACTCACACTGTCAAGACACTGGTAGCCATACCTGCTGTATGCTTTGCTGCAGTGAGGGAAATGTGATTCTCTGTCCAGCTGCAAAGATGCAAAGATGCAGACTTGAGTAACACCCTCATTCAGAGATGGAGATCCTTGAGGAGCTCACATATCAAAAGATTGACTATGGCACGTTTAAGAACTAGGACTGAGCACCCCTGTTATATAGTGTATTTTTGCTTACCCTTTGAGCAAATTTAAGTACAAGGTGCAGGGATTTCAGGTACCATTTTTGGATCTACCCATTTGAAGTAATAAATCACAGAAAGGTTCTTCTCAAACTGCAGACACAAGCGAAGGGGTTTTGTAGTTCTGCATCACCTGCACATGTTAAATGAGACTTTCTTCTATAGAAGAAAATGCTATGGATAGGCTCCACTGCTTCATGAACAATGGGATTTAACAAATTCTGTTTAAGCTTTATTTTTTCAGATATTCTGAATACCCCTGAAATACCTAGTAACAGTCACTGGCAAAGGTAAGGAAAGGAGGGAAGAAAAAAGACTAAGAAATATTCTAGAAGCAAAGGGCAGTTAATCATTCATGTTGTCTACGATTCCTTTGGCTTACAAGTCTCAAGATAGACTCTTGCTTTACAGAAAAAAAAAAGGTCACCTACTGTCCTACCTTCTTTCCTCAGTGTATGAATCCAAAGTCACATACTGCCTGGACTTCATAGCCAAATGGCATATCCTAAAGCATTTCATTTCACATCTCCTTGACACCCTGCAGGCACCCTTTCCCCTTAAAAGGAAGAATCTCACAATATCATTTTGCGTAACATTCTTTACATATTTTGAATTCAATCCCAAAGCACATCTACTTCAAACTGTGTGCGTAAAGGGTTTTATTTTTCTGCTTGTTTTTTAAGATTTTTTTTCTTAGCTTAATATTCTGTTCTATTCTAAAAGCTGGCCATTTTGTTGAAATATTTTGCTTTGTTACAAAAGCAAAACAAATACTTCAATTTTGAAAGAAAGAGAGTAAAAAGAAGCAGCCAAAACATGTGCTCATCCTTATTTTCCTCTTATGAGTGACCAAACAGTATATGCGATTCAATACCCAGCATGGGTTAATTTAATCTAGAAAATAAACTTATCATTTAAGCTAACATTTGATACGATTTTAACCAACACCATGTTAATTTCATACGTAAAGCCCTCATGGTGCCCATGAGTCACCTTCACACTTTAGGAACATGGGCATGGGGTACCACAGGTCACCGGTTATCAGACTTTGTTTTATTTTACAATACATTCACGATTCTCTGTACTTCCAGTGGCAAATACATCGTGCTTGGACAGCCAGTGCTGGTATGTGATATCCCATGATTACCTCGGCCTCAAAGTCAGACAGTAATCCATGTTTGTGTTACTCTCCTTTTAATGCAGTACAAAGCTGGACACAACTCAGAAAGAAATCCCTAAAATCCATTACCTATTTATGATCATGTACAAACGGATATTTATCATGTTAAAAGAGAACCATATGTTAAAGTAGAGGCTAGAGCCCAATAAATCTTTTTGGATGGAATCCCTTTTCAAAAAAAAAAGAAATGAAATAATTAACATTTGCTTTTGCCAGTAGAAACATTTGCTCATGAATCTCCTGGGAAGGGAAGGGCATTTAACCTTTTTACATGCCATGCCCTCAGATATCGCTGACTCCCACTGCAAAGCAGACAACAAAGATTCCCGACTCCATGCTGCTGATTAAACCCCTTGTAAGAAACATCTGGATGAAATTTTCTTGGCAGTTGACTTGAAAAGTATAGAAGCAGCAGAACCAGGGAGCAGCCACAGTTCAGCTGAGCGACACAGAAATGATGCTATGCAAAAGCAGATTTTTCCTTGAACACATTACCTCTTAAATATTAACTTGTGATTGTGCAAGCAACCCTATTAGCAGAAGAAAAATAAATCCCCCTTCTACTCTGCATGCCAGTGTACAGGAGGAAAATGAGTTTTGAGAGAAATCCCACTCAATCTTTTTTTTTTTTCTTAATAAAATAATAGAAATCTTAAACAGTTTACCTGACTAATACTTAACCTCAATTATCAGAGAAGTCATTCACATTCTTAAACTTCAAAAAAAAATTATTAAATTTGTAATTACTTCAAAACTTCTACAGCTTCCCAGAAACTCACCAACTAACTGGATGTAATACCTTCCTGCCATTTCAGTGAACACATCCCCAGGCCTAAATGAGCAAAAGTGACCTATGATTTTCATGGCCTCTCTGCCCTCTGCTACTCGATCTGTGAGAAAATGTCCAATGCAGTATTTTTCATTCTTGAAAATACAATCTGTGGAATTCTCCCAGTTTCCCGTATGGACAACCAGAGCTAAAAGTGGGAAATTTTCACCATTGCTACTATGTGAATCAGAGCAGTGAAAAATCTGCATGAACCAATTTGACTCTGCATCTGCTGTGGGGAAAAAAAGAAAAAACAAAGCAGCAGCAGTGCTGGAGTGAGTCCCACACAAAGGTGAAGGAACAAGAAAAATAGTGGGGAACCTTCTGCCCCATGACTGCAAGACTGAGAAAGGTCCAGGGTATGGGGCAAGGAATAGGCAGCAACACTATGGCCTCTTCCAGATGCCAAGGCACAGAGAGCTTCGGATTTATCAGACTGAATTATAATTACTCTAACACTTTAAAAAAAAGAAGTGTTTTAGGACACTGAAGGGGCCAGTAATTTGTAGTTATCTACAATCCTTGAAAATCTGATAGGGCATAGGAAGGGCTTTGATTTTCCAGCTGCGGCACTGCTCTGAAGAAATATATAAGCCGTATGTGCTTAAAACTGCTTGGTAAATATTTTTACGTCTTAAAGAAATTAACACAGAGACAAAATCTGGACTAAATGTTTTATGTCCAATTCAAACTTCACATTCTAAAGCACCCCAACTTATTTTGGCTACATCACTGAGATCCCAAGAGATCTAGAGAAGGGGCACCTATTCAAATTAGTATTGCTATCAGTTTCTCATAATGGTAAGTCTCTCACTAAACGAGCATATGCACAAAAAACTGTTATATATATGTTCCAATTTATGAGAAACAAGTCTTTGAAATTCAGGAAAAAAAAATCTGTCGGATAACAAAATTTCAGTATGGAACAAGAACAGCCAAATGGAATGCAGACCAGAAATTCAGTCACCAAAGTGTAACAGTAAGAAGAAACAAGTTCAGAGCTGTTTTTCTTCTATCAAGATAAATAAAATATTGTGAATATTTTGTACCACTTTATTCAGTACTACCACTGGAATGGTAATGAATGAATAAAAACAGAAAAGTGGGTTATAGGAACCCAAGTAAAATCCAATATTCATCAAAAATAGTGGAAATAAAAAGCTGTCATGTAGAACATCTACATCTGAAGGCCATGCCACTTGTGCAGGCAGGAGGTAACGTCAATACAGATCTAGGATATATTCACCTGCCACATGTGCCATCGTAACTCAAGTGAGTTGATTTCATGGCTAAGAGAAATAATTTAAGACTACTACATCAAGGGAAAATCTGCAATTTTGTTAAGACACTCTGACACAACCAGTGTATGCTTTGCAACTCCAGCAGACACTTCCCTGTACACATTTGGTCTGCACCAAATAGGGAAGATGAGATAATATTCTGGATCCAGCAATATGTATGCAGCCAACAAACAATTAAACCATGTAGTAAAAAGCAGATGACAGGAAAACATGGAACCAAGGCTTACAGTGTATCAAGAAATGTCCTTACACTTAAAAAAATTATAATGCACTCCAAAATCCATTTGTTCAGGCAATCCATGTACAACAGAAGGCACTGTTATCCATATGAATCTATCAATTCTGCACAGCAAAAACCTGAGAAGTGCAACTCAATTAGATGCAGCCTGGCCCCTCCCAGTCATTCAGGTTCCTTGAGGACAAACGTTTCCTTTTCAGTCCATCAAATTATAAAAACACCACAAGAATTTGTACATTACAGTAGCTGGTTAGAAAAAGCATTCTGGTGGGGGAAGCACACTGCTACATTTCAGAAAACCTTCAGCAGCATTGAATTACCCTCCCCTATCACTCAGAAGTCATGATGGTTTTAAGAAAAAGTAATGATGAAACCCTTCCCATTGACCTTTGTAGCTGATCCTTCAGTTTCCACCAGGAGTACTTCCAGCAAAGTTAAATGCTGTGATCAGTCCTTTGTTGTCAAATGTGTAGCCACTTTGTTGTTCTATTGTCTTAGTCTCTAGAATTCAAAGAAGGGAAAAGATATGAAAAATAGCTTGCAGAAAACACTTTTGCCAGAGATAATACCATAACACCATTCAGCTAAGAAAGCAAAGTTGTAGAAAAAACTCTCGTTCCCTGTGTGCAGCAACAATAATAAATCACACCAGTATTTTCTTTAAACGAATAAGCACAACACACCTCTACAACAGAATGGAGAAATTAATCCTCTACAGAACAATTGTATGCTACACTATTCCGCTCGCCTCTTGATTAAATCTGAATTTATTTTCCATGATGCCAGTGTCCTAAATGCCCAAAACCTCACACCATCTGTGAAGGCAATGTTAGCAGTCCAACACATAATGCTGTTAGACACATAATGATCTATAGTAATTTCCATCAGATGACTGGCTGACAGCTAGATATTGCCTTAATTTGCTCTTCATTTCAAATGTCAGGTTGTGCAAAACCAGTTCATAGCTTGCTCAAACAGCAGCATATGTCAATGAGAGGGCAATTAATTATAATAACAGTAATCTGAATAACACACTTCTAGGCAAGCAATAATACAGCACAATACACTGCTCATGCTTCTCAGGCCTCTTGTAAGGCTTATGTTAATTAGCACAGAGATTTATTCCCTGTTGTTACAGATTAGATGTGGTTCCAACATCCCTGAATAAATAAAGTGGCCCTGGAGAAGTGACTTACCTGCAGCATTTCGCCGGTGTTCTGCTAATGTATAAATTTCCTGCAGCTGTTTCTTCTGATCCTCACTCAGCGGAGCTGTCAGTGAATGGTACCAGGCAGCATCTCGGCTCTGCACCGCTATCAGAACAGGAATGCATGGAAAGTGATTATCAGCTTACATTCCAAGTTAATTTTAGATAAACAAAATTAAATCCCTGATTTGGATAAAACAAACAAACAAACACTGCAAAACAGATTCAGAATTCCTGTCAGTTTCTTGGTGCAGAATCCCCCCTGTAAGCAATCCTTTGGGAGAACTTCCTTACATCCTCCGCTTTCTGAAACAGGAAGTTAACAGCGTGGCCAATTATTCATGGACAACAATGAAGTGAATCTTTTAACAGAATATTCAGATCAAAACTAAAAGCAACAGGATTAGTCAAACAGGAAAGGGAGAAAACATTTTTTCCACTATGATTTTAACATCTAGAAAGTGACAAACATTTTTATATATAGGAGTCCCTCTAGTGACCAACTCTCACTTAATTGGGCTGTGGTTGAAAAGCTCTGAAAGAAAACATGAAGACTACTAGTCTCTGGCTGTATTTGGTGCCATCTGTTTTTTGTGGTACTTGTAAGCCAAAAATCTTAGGACTAACATTAGAAAACATTTCCAGTTTAAATAAATTATTACTCATAACAAAGAAAAAGGCTTTTCCTAATGATGACCATAACCATCTCCAAACTACTTCATAGCGTTCTGTCCACGCATACCTAAAAGTGCTTGTGTAAAGAACTGGTATTCATCAACACCGTTTTCAAGGTCAAGAGGTGTGCTGAATCCTTCAAGAGCAGTCTCTTCCAATGCATCTTCATCCCAGTCATCATCGTCATCATCATCCTCCTCTTCTTCTCCACCTCCATTGCCGCCGCCACCACCTCCACCATGGTTCTCTTGCATTGCCTGGCTCACTTCATTTGTCTCCTCCTCATCACTTGGTATCTCTTCTGCAAAAGCATTATTGTGTTTTGTAAAACAAACATTTAAAAGTATTTGGAAAAAGTGGCTTTCAAATTAAGAATAATGAATCAATCTAATTTCTGGTTGAAAATATGATCCTCTGTTAACATCCTTCCCTCAAGAACTCTGAAGAAATGGGAAAATGAAGCTAATAAAATGTTTTCTACCCTCAAGATCAGTTAAGTTTTTGTTTCTAAGAACACCTGGAGAATGTGAAGCTTTTTTCTTCTTTCATATACGCTATCATTGCATAATTATAGGATCCAAAAATTTTGAGCAAATTTGTCTTGCACAAAGTGTCCCATCACTATGCTTTTTAAATTATGAACAAAGACTGGCACAGGCTTCTCAAATTGACACAAAGAGAAAAACAGGTGTATGCCTAACATCTGCCTGCTGTTCTTCAGAGTGTTCCTTTATTTGAAGGAAGTTAAAATATCATCTTTTGCTTAGTTTTACCTTCCACTCTGTTTATGAAACAATGATTATAACCTGAATTAAATGCAATTCCAACAGGCAATTCTGAACGTTGCTATTTCTCACTTAAGGAAAAATATTTTTGACTCTTAACTGAGATTTTTTTTTTTTTAAATCCCCTCCAGTTCCAAACCTTCAGCTCTTTCTGTGTTAGCAGGATAAAAAGAATGGAGTGACTGTATCTGTAACAAGCAGGACTGCCTCACAGGACAGATATTTTAAAGTTACTGTGCTGATTCCATAGCATACTCCTATGCATTGAAGAAAATTCTCTAAATACATTACAGAACAACTGTGTGAAATTTTAATGGATTACATACTCTGCTTAGACCCATTCTAATTTTCAGGCCTCAAACCATCTATTTCGTCTTCCCAGTCAAGTAACAACCACACGTATCTGCCTACAACACTGTACAAAATTCACTCCCTACAGTTCCCACTGCAACATATTCTTCAGATTTTTCTCTCTTCTGCCAGCCACAGCAATAAGAAGTCTTTCTACTCCAGGATCCTTATCTGCCTCGAATTCCACTTTGAAAATCACTGCATGCCATTTTCTATTTGGACAAAGATGACCTGCAAGGATTTCCTTTAAATTTCACTAGAATAGGTCTTTAAAATAGCTGGGTACTAGGAACAGCTTCTTTCCAAGAATCAAGAATAAAGGCAGTGGAGTCATGGAAAACACCTGCTGCTTATGGAGAAGACGGAGTACATTCACAAGGGTGGACTTGCAAGTTTTATTGTTACCTCCTAACAAAAATTACCCTTTCACAAAGTATTACCTGTTATACATTGAAACACTTTGATTACATTTTGGGAGTAAAAATCAATTCCTAAGGTGATCTTTCAAGCACCCAATAAGCCTAGCTATTTTCAGCGGACTAATGAGTCTTAGAAATGAACTGCAATTTCTTACCCCCTTTAAATTAAATCCAGACAAAATCCACAATGTGAAAAGGGGAGATTTTACCATTATCTTCTGCAACGTGTTTGTCATCTTTAGCATGGTCCTCGTGTTCTGTGAGTTCTCGCGAGGCGCAAACTTGTTTTAAGCCCAGGAAGAGGAGGAGGATCGAAGGGACGATCTGAGCAGCCACAGCATCCACTGCAGGCGGACGGTTCTGCAATTCCATTAAGATGCTCAGTCCTATTATACACATCTTTCTGTCATGGAGTCTAAAACAACACACAATTATTAGACAGAAAAACATATTTTCACTGCAGTAATATGTAGAGAGCATCAAAGTCCTGGTGCTTGACATGGCAGAACACGATATTTAAAGTCTATGTTCTACGATCCTAAACACGCATTTCTTTTGTTCTGAATGTGAGTTTCCTATTGGAAAGTACTTGTCCAAAACCAACTAAGTATATTTCAAGCAATGACCAGATTCCTGGAACAACTGTTTCTGATTACCAAATGCAAAGTTTGTAATGCTAAAAAAATAGTTTAATAATTATGTAGAATGTCTTGTCTTTAATAAACCATTTGATAAACATTATCGTCATTAAGTAGAGTGGAAAATTAATTTCCCTTGGCTCTAGATAGGAGTACTGTAGCAGGCACTGAAATTAGAGAAAATACTATTAGTAAAGAATAATGACAATCAGAAACACACTGAATTGCAGGGTGCTTTTATGGAGTGCCACAGGGCTAGCTGTATTTAAGCATGTTTTTTAAGAGTTCATGTTTTTTAAGAGTCCATCAGAATGGCTGTAATACACATTCCATTTCCAACACTAACTTGAGGCACATTGCTAACTCCAGTGAAAGCAGGGAAATAACTGTACATCAAGAACAGCAAGCAGTACACTTAAACAGGAAATGAGTAGACTTCCAGGAAAACCAACAAATTATACGTAATTAAGGGAAATAAAAACATGGAATTAACATCAGAAAGATTTTTGTGTGCTCCCAGCCTAGGAAACTAGGTAAGAACCTATGCTCTTAAAAGAAATAATTTACACTTCCAGAAATTGAAATCATCGGCAAATAATACAGGGAAAAATCTTGAACTGCTTCTACAGAAAGTCTTTTGTCCTTCTATACTGGAAACACTAGTAGTATTCAGCTTTTCTCTAACGTTATTTTTCAATCTAGGGCTGGAGAAGAGCTCATTTTGTATGAATTTGATGCTGGCATTTTCTGTCCAAACTTTCTTCAGGGCAAGTAGCTCCAGCAAGAAGCTTCAGCAAGACCTACAGAAACAAAGCAAATCTCTAGAGCTGGCTACTGTGCAGGCTCTTCTCTCCCTGCGGCTGTGCATCAGGTGATCCCACACAGTCTTTTATCTATGCGGTAGCGTGGCATTACTAGCACAGCTGCAGCAGGGATAAACACCAAAGCTATTCTCTTTCAGCATTTTTTAATATTTCCAACTGGGAGAAAACGTCCATCCCCCAGATTCTCAGTAGATAATTCTCTTACAGAACTGGTTTTGCTTTAGAATGAAGAGGATGCAAGTTGAGAGAGAAGAAACTAACAAGATGTGCACCAGTGATTACAATAAAAAGTACAGGAGAACAGCCAGTTTAATCCATCACTTCAAAAATTAATATAGTAATATAATTCTAAAAATAATTACAATTTTGTTACCAAAAATCCTATATACTATGCTACTAAACCATAATATTCTTCAAGTAATACAAGCGATCATGTCTTACAGCTTCCTGAACTCTGTATGTTTAAACAAGGCCGTGGATCTGGAGGGATTTCGTTATAGCTCCTACTTCATTAGCTGTGTTACGACTTAGCCAAGTGATTCCATTCTCAGAGTAGTTGACAAGAACAATAAATTCAAGACAGCCATGCCTAACATTATGATCACAGAAGACTGTCCAAGAAAAATGAAGTCAGCTAGCACAGCAAATGACGCGCTGGCACGCTGGGTTTGGCTGCTCCATTACACGTGTTGAAAAATGTACCAAAATGCAAGTGGGCAGAGTGTCCTTCCATCACTGCAAACTGCCACGCTTCCTTTTCAGAAGGAACTGGACACAAAAGAGGGCATACAAATTAACCAAGAGTCAGTAGAACAGAGTCTGCTTTTGCCTTCATTACATGAAAGAAAAATTAAACCCCCTTAATCCTACCAGTTTGTCTGTCATGAAAACAAACCCATCACCATTTGCTCACATGCCAACACTGTGAAGCATAAAGTCTACCTACAGATGATGCCACCTATGAATTGAGCACTGCTTTTGGAGGAAGAGTTGTTCCTGCATGAACAAAAGGAAAAACCTTTACCCTGCCTATCTGCCAGCACCTTCATGTAAGCTTGACCAAAGCTCTATAATCCATGCCCAATACTTCCAACCTGCATCTTGACATGGAGAAGCCATTAAATTTCTATAGGCCCATGATGTATAACGCAACAATTTCAGTGTAGGTGCAATGGGGTCATTAATGACACTTGGTACTACCTTTTATTATAGAGTTAGAAAAAGCTGCTGTTATATAACGCCAACTGCAAAATGTAACACAAAAATAATGAAAAAGTACAGCAATTAGTGGCTTTGCTTCATATTGAATTATCTTTTATGGACAGCAAACGAAAATAGAAAACTCAGACATTGTTATACAGGAGGGAATCATCATTAGGAAGTAGCCCAAATAGCCAAAAAGTACAGTATATTTGTCATGCTTCATTTTCAAGCATCTGTGAGAGAAGCCGTAAGAATGAGCACAAGCCCTTGGAATACACATGTGATCAGAAGGCCCAGCAAGACAGCAGAAATCCAGCATCAAGCTATCTTTAGCGAAGCTGGGCCAGAAGGAAGCTTGTTTCTTCCACCTGTCAGCACAAACAGCAGGACAAGCCTGAAGTTCAGCACTCCATGCCACAGCTGTACCAAACACCAACAGGACTGAACAAAGAAAACAAGAATTTTACCTCATTTACATATTTTTGCAATGGCAACAACTGGTTTCAGGACTATTCCCTTGCTATCAAAAGGCTCGTTATTCCAGCACTCTCCTGTCTGCACAAAGCTGCCTGGACACAATTCTCCTTCCTGCTTTGTCCTTCGAGATCTTTACTTATCTGCTCAGCAGCACACAATAGTCCTCCCCAGCAATCACGCACTCTGCTTGCTTCCTCAAAGGCATACAAAGTCAGGCTCACACGGCAGTGCAATGCACAACTTCTAGGCAAGGCTGTTTCTAACACGCTCTGTGTTCTTCACAATCCGCAGGACTTTTCGTAGCTAATACACTCCTTCCAACACAAGATAAAAAGACTTAAGAATCTTTTGTATCTTAAACCAGGTTGAAAGCATTTCAAAGGAAAATGGCTAAGCCTTTCCTTTATTGGCGTGCTGTGTTCCTTTTAGGTTAGGATCAAGTTGCTTTCTATTATACTAATCCACTTCCTGGACAAACTGCAAATAATTAGCCATTTCCTTCTAGTTGCAAAGTTGAAACCAACCTAGTTTTCCCGTTAAAGATTAGGATTTTATATACTAGGATTTCTAACTATTTACTCTCCTATCAAATAAATCTCCTCCTAGTCTAAAAAACTCTCCCCCCCATCTTTTTTTTTTTTTTTTTTAAGCAAGATAGGTTTTCCTTCCACCCCAATTGCCACAGAAGAATTTTTAGCGGCAGAGTAAGAATAAGTCACACAAAGTCTCACCCAAATTTCAGGCTGTCAGAGAGAAGGTATAACTCAGCAAGGAACAAATGTCTCTACAAATACTTTTTTTTTCAGTCCCTTACCGTTATTCAGTTTGAAGTAATTGAAGAAAACATGTTTAGAAATAAATAAATACAGCATTCCGTGCTGTATGGGCACATACCCACAGATGTGTAATCCACCACGACATACTGGATTTACGCAGCCTTGCAGTGAGTTCTGAGCTCTCCTTGCCTTGATTATTTTTAACATTCCAAATTTCTAAACAGTTTTAAATAGTTTCCATATTTTTAATAACAGGGAAGAACAGCTACTTACTGTACCCCAGCCACTTCCCCCCTCCTCGTCTCCCCTCACAAGATGTATTATTCCCCTGGATTTCATTCCAGGAGTTCACAAGTACTGCTGAAGAAATACTGCATTCTTTTGGCAAACACTGTTGGCTCCAGCATAAGAACATACCAGAACACCACCCCCTGCCTCTCAGCCCTTCTGGCAGAGCAGGATCTCTGGGCACTACGACTTCAGAGGAGCAGAAGGGCAGAGGGACATGAGATTTATGTGGTGGAAGTAGCTTGAACAGCCACTGTCACTAGCACAGCACAGACCGTCTGCAGGGCTAACGAAGAAACGGCAGGAGATTCACACCTGGAGGTGGATCTCCTCCGTTCTTCTCCAGTTTCTCCAGGATCTGTGAGCACACCGACTGACTCCAATTTAGACCTAAAACTGCCTCTTGCTGGAAAGCCATCTAACTCTGAACTGAAGCAGCACTGAGCGACAGCAGGTGAGAAGAACGGCACAAATCGGGGCACCCACTGGTGTCTTCACACTGACGGAAAGAAGTCTGCAGAAGTGGGCCCAAGGAAGGGTAGCAAAGAAGCCAGATTTTGTTTCCAACTGTCTTTTCCTGTTCATTTAAGGCCTCTTCAGATGACGACCCTTACTAAAATGAAATGGTCTTCTTGAAGCAGTCCTGTCCTTCTGAGGAAGGAAGGAAAGGGAGGAAGTCATTTAAAACGTATCACAGTGCCTGACAAGCGGTACTACAGCAAAAGCCCTGTGCCTGGAAGCCACATACTGAGGAGACAACAGTGGAAAAAGAAGCAATTTTTAGATTTAAGCAACATTACAGTTATTTATTTCACTGCTCACAGCAGCACATCAAAGAGAAACATTTTAATCTTCAGCTGCTGTTCAAGTGCATAGCCTGAGCAGAATCTAGCCTGATGATCTCTGTTTCATTTTCATAGGCTTTGTCAACTTTTGTCTCAGCTCTGAAAAAGAACTTAGTCGAGCAGTAGTTGCAGAAGCTGATGCTTTTTGAAAAGCAACACAAAAGAACTGAAAGTTAAGCTGTAGCTTACAGAAGTACTCGAGGTTGGATCCTATTCAGGTCGGCAGCATTTTTCTCCTTTGGATCTGACTAGTTTCTCACTGAATGCTCCAGGATGAACTGTTTAAGGCTATAAATCTCTTTCATTTTTTATTTCTTCTAAAAAGAATGACAAGTTTACCACCTATAGGGAATATGTTCTTTTATACTGCCTCTGCATGCTTTCAGCATTTGATATGCAATAGAAAAAAATGACAGCACAAAGAGCTGAATATCAAGAACTTTTCTTCAGCCATAAAAAATTAGTACATGGATATCCTGATACTAAAACTCTCATTCTTTTCTAAAGTCTGTAGAAACTGAAATAATTTAAAAATTAACAGTAGTATTACCACGAGATGTGGGAGAAGCAAACTTCAAGGTGCCATTTTTCAGCCACTGGGACTCCAAAAGAAATGAGGGACACCGCGTACTTTATGCCTACTTTGTCACTAACTCAAGTAACCCCTCTAAATGGTAACGTGTGTATATTTATGTTAATATGTAATATAGGATGTGCTGTAGACATTTCTTATACATATCAGGTAGAAAAGGTCAGAATGCTTGTGATTATAAACTGGATTTTGTTATAATAAAGAAGAGATTTTTCCCCCCCACACACAATTATCTGTTTAATGTATTAGAACAGAACAGTTGGAAGTCCATTCAGTTGGAACATCCCTACAAAGGTCACCCAGTTCAACTCCCTGACCACTTCAGGGACAACCAAAAGTTACAGCATATTAATGAGGGCATTGTCCAAATGCCTCTTGAAGGCTGCCAGGTATTTTTATTTTTATTTTTAAATCTTTAAAGAGAGACTGCTGTGGTAATATCATCAAATACAGGCAGGAATGGGAATCTGTACAGAGCCTACACATATGAAAGAAGGAAATTTCTCTTGCACCTCCACGTGGTTTTTATTTTAGTAAAACAGACAGAATTAACATGCAGACCAGAAATAAGGTAGTTTGTGCTGCAAGTCTGCAAACTTGAGGGTCTTTTCCAACTTGAATGATTCTATGATTTTAAACTGTTGCCCTTTCATCCTAATCCTGCTAAACTGTGTAATTAGGACAGAAGAAGAAGAACAGTTTTTATCATGTACATTTGGTATGGGTTTTAAAAATACTACAAAGGACATGCTGAGAGCAAACCCTACGTATACTAGGTGGTCACTGATTGACTAGTTATTAAAAAATGTATGCAGTGCTACAATGCACCAAACAATATAAATACAGGATGAACAATAAAGCAATAATGCAGCTATACCAAGATGGCATATAATTCTGCTCAAAAAAGGTAAACTCAAACAAGAACTGCCATGAAGAAAAGCTACATGGATGACTTGGGGAGTGCAGAAAGCATCTTATAAGACTAACTTTAACGACTAACTTCTTTAGAATTAGAAAAACAAGACTGTACCAAAAAGCAGGTAGAAAAAGAATGACAACCTGAAGATAAGGTATGCATCTATGGGTCAGGAGCTGCCTGCCTTGGTCCTGTGCTCATTTTTTGCATGACTCCTAGCACATTGATACTTCACTTCATCTGTTGGCACATACCATGCACAGAGAAGACATGTTCTAATCCTATCTGTACATCTGGAGTCAGAAGTCATGCCTTCAGTGACAAAATGTAATTCACAGCAAGAAGGTGAGCAGCAGTTGTTAACTACATCTGACAGTCTGCTTTGCCCTTAAGTGGATTTGAATCTCACAGCCAAACACCACATCTCAGTTGAGAGGCAAGCACTGGCTGTTTTGCACTGAATTCCACATCCCCACAGCATCAAGTGCATACTTTGTTATGAGATGACAGGCTTTGTCCACTTTCATTTACCTTCATTTATAAATGCTCAGCTTCTGCCTTAGAGCACACTAGTGTAGAGTACATGCATGTTACAGGCAGGTCTGAATGAAGTTTAAGTTAAGGAGTACATCAGTAGCATAATGGTAAATAAGCAACACTGATCATGAACCACTGGCGGAGATTAAAATCAAAGTATGTGATTCATTGGACTGAACAATGTTTTTTTTAACATTAAACAGAGCAGTTAAACACTTTATAAAATACAGAACAGAAAATATGTACACGTATCTGAGGAAAAAAGTTAACACCTCCCTGAAATCCCGCTGGTCAGCTCCAAATATTACCCTCAGTGCAAACTGTTCCATCTCTTGGATAAGAAAAGAGTTTGAAATGGAAAGGAATAATTCAATTGGAAGGGACTTTCAAAGATCATCTTGTCCAACTAGCCAGTCACTTCAGGGCTAACCAAAAGTTAGTGCATATTAGCAAGAGAATTATCCAAACATCCTGAACAGACATGCACAGAGCATCAACCACCTCGTTAGGAAGCCTGTTCTGGTGTTTGACCTCCAACTGGGTAAAGATATTTTTCCTAATATCTAGTCTGAATTTCTGCTAATATCTACTCTGATAGTCTCTGATTAAAAAAAAACTAAAGCATTCTAAAAGATGATATGTATTCTACTTTTGTACTGTTGCAACACAGAAGACTCAGCATATAGCTCAACAGACCGAGAAAAATTAAATATACATAGGACTCCCTTATTAGTATCACTGCAATTAGACGTGGTGTGGATTACGGTCGTACGGAATAATTAAGGAATAAAACGCTTCAACATGACTAGGGATACAATTGAAGTGAAAAAGCCAAAAGCAGGGACTTTTGAAAGACAAAAAGACAATACTTGCCCAAGAAAACAGTCTGTGTCATTCATCCACTGGTTTATGAACTGTGCAGTGATGGGCTCAGGATTGTGTGGAAACCTGATGTTCTCTAAGGTGTGCAGAAGTAGGTCAGGATTGTAGTAGAGTGCAGCTATGGCAACCTGCAGACACATGGTGCGAAGTTCACTTGTTTTAACTCCTCTTGTTAACCTCTCCAGAACAGCCTCCACAAAGAGTGGAATACACTGGGCATAGAATGAAGAAAAAAAGCAAGTATTACACATATTGCCACATTATACACAGGTTTAAAACATGTTTATCAGAACTGATCTCCGGAGCTAACTGAAGTCTGGGTATATCCTAAGAATACATTAGATTAATATAAAAGCATTTTAAGCCTCTGCCTACATGCTTATAAATCTTCCCCAAAACAACTATTCTATGAGCTAAAAATTGCCAATGTTATTCTCAGCACAGAGGAGAATATTTGGAGCTATCTGAGCAGAATTTGTTTTGGCGTGAATAAAAGGTTTTGAAAAGAACTCAGGGACTTTCTCATCTTTGAATAGATACCCAACAACTTAACTAACAGGGATTAAAAACTGAGAGGACCTAAATCTGCAAGAAAAAAAGGTTTTGCTAATAAATGTAAAGTGATAAATTTCTTTAAGAAGTTTGCAATGAGTGAGTTTATTCAGCTAAAAGTATGCACGTATTTCTACACAATGAAATAAACATCTACATATATTTCAATACTCGGGTTTATGCTTTATATTAATTTGGAAAGCATTACGAATGTTTCAGTTTATGAGTTTCAGTTCAACTATTTTAATTCCCAGAGTTGTGGTGCTCATTTCAGCCTTCCACCACACCCTTATTTCAATGTAAATGCATATAATTCACTTTAATCCCTTCCAGATTACTTTTCAAAATAAAATCTGGAAGGGAATACTTTTATCTTCAATTACTTCAGATTTACAATGGTAAAGTTATATTGTTTTTTGTGAAATTAACTGAAAATTAATCATTGAAGTCCATGAATTGCACTGCACAACACTTCAAACATGCTATGGCAAAGTAATGTAGAGGCCGGAGTATTATGTAAAATGTGAGACCAGAATTTAGCTTTTAATATGGGGGGAAACAGAAAAAAGAGAAAAAAAAATCACAATCTGCAAATGTATTGTATACAATTACAGAAAACTGCAATTATGGTTTTCCTGCCAATCACATAGCTACATGTAAGTTTTTCATTCACAAGCATACCGTGTAGTTCAAAAAGGACCAAGTTCATAAAAAGGACATGGCTTCAAGAAAAAAATATGTCAATAGCTGCATTCATGTAATTAATCTCTCAACCACAATTCTGTATTTCTCCCCATTCCTACATTTTGCATCTCCCCCCAGTTTCTCCAATTCTGATTGCTTTTCTCATGAATCACACACATAGCATTGGAAACCTGTACAAGAGAAAACCTGTTACGTGTGTATCACCTGGTCAATACCCCGTCCTTTGCACTGAAGAACAATTACTTCTAGGAGTTTGGCTGCGTGGCACTCTGCATCTTCTCCTGCATCTCCTGTTAATACCTAACAATCAAAAAGGCAATTTAATTTATCAGTATTAATCGTTGTCAACAATGAAAGCAAGTGCTCTTGTACCTGCATACATCAAAACTCTACATGGCATATATATATGTATATATATATATAAATAAAACATATACACATTTTCATATATATATGTAAATACATTCATGCTGTATTTTCTGATGAATTAAGAAAGATAAAAAACTTATCTCTACAGGATATAAATCAGGATAGGTGACTAACAATGAATCTAAAATTTCAGGAGAAATTGCTATTGTTCTTTATTAATGTTAGTATCCTCTATACGTCCTTTATCACGTTCCCTTTTTCAAAGGTAATGTTACTTGCAAGAATCATTGATGTTTTCCACATCCTGTTTCCATTTTCTGACTTCAATTCTAATAAACACTGGCAGATTAACAGCCTGGCAAAGTGAGGTCCTATCTCTAGGCTAGTTTCAGATTAAAAACGAGATGTATGTAATCACTCTATGTACATGCACATATGCACGAAACTGACTGTTTCTTCTCAGTATGTTTCAACCCTACAGCTAGTGTCAATCAAACCTGACAAAGAAGTAGAATTCACAAGCACATTAAATCCCTGTAAGTCTTTTAAAAATAAGCAAGTAGATAGATTCCTAATACTTAATAATGCCCCAAATCAGACAAATGCTTTATTATATGTGGGAGAACCTGTATAAAAGGGAAACAGGAAAATATGGGAAGAACTTCAAATGAGTTTGCACCTTAGCTGAGAACTAAAGAACCCAATCACAAGATATACAACCCAAGGAAATAAGGCTTCATTAATTCCTCTGCTTACCAAAATAGCTGTTCATAGAAGAGAGTCAAGGCAAACAACAGCACAGCAACTTTTTCCCACACATTTGTGCACAGTTTTTTTTAAAAAAGTATGTCACTTGAAAGTGTTAAGGTGCTATGACTACTTGAAACTGAGATGATACCAAACTTCATTTCATTATGAAATGATTGGCTACCACCTGGCATGTTCAGGTCACTTTTAATCTGATTATTAGGTACCCGTGATAAGTGTAACAGTAAGAATCAGAATACTTACCTTTTTACACATAGCATAAATGATTTCTAAATGCTTTGGATTAGACAGTAAAGTATCAGTGTCAATGGTCACATAATTATGCAAGAGAGGCATCATGTCTGCAGAAGAGAAAGAAAAAGAGAAAAAAATGCGAACTAATCCTTAGAAGTGCTAGCCAGTCAGGCTGTAGCCCTGTAATGGGATTCATTAGCACAGATTCTTGGACATGGTTAGAAATTGAAACTTTGCAAGGTCTACTTTAGCAGAATTCTTCATAAAGTGCACCATGCACAATGCATTCTCAGGAGAAGAAACAGAACAGAACAACGGTTTAATTTAGGAATTTGTAGTTTCCCATTAACTTTGTATATTTCAGCTTTCTTGCAGTTCAGGACCTCCAACGGTAACTGATCATACTGACAGATTTGAACATGCCTCTCTAGCTAAATACGCTCCTGTTATACTCCCACACTAAACAGATGGTCAGGGCATGACTAAAGTACACAATCATTTTATACCAAAACACTAAATGGAAGTGACCTTTGTAAGGTGGGCTCTGGAGATGAATTCCCAAACAGTTGAAACATCAAGAGAATACAAGTTGCAATACCTGCAAAGTATTCAAAGCAATCCTGCTGGAAAACCTCATACAGAACACCTAAAAGCTGCCACATTTGAGGTGAAATCATCTGGCATGTCAAGCTGTATGCCAAGGAAAGAATTTCTTCATAAAACTCTGGAAAGGAGAAACAAATTTGTAAAAAAAAATCTTTAAAAAAGATTGCTTGCAAATATATTGAAACCTGCATCTCAAGCCCTGAGTCATATAACACCTAGAAGACAGTAATTACTAATTATATAAAGATGAATAAAAATAATACAAGACTCTTTTAAGCCTTAGTTTAAGCCTACAGTTGCAACAATATACATTGCTTTTTATTATATGCTTTTTATTATAAACACACACTAGAAAAATGCATTATCTGTGCATCGAAGGCATTGCTTCTAATGACTTACTACAAAATATTTTTACTTTCTCAGACTTTTTTTTTCTTAAAAGACCTTAGCACAAAGCTGTGTAGCTGTTTAATGCAGGAAACGGATAAAGAAATAATTTAATTGCACACCAAGTCCATAAAATAGTAATTGCAGATTTTGTCCTTTAACACAGAGCTATAACTATAAGGAGAACTGAATCCTCTGATTTTAATTTTTAAACAAGCAAAAAAAAACAACAACAAAAGATGAATTTCTGTCCAGGAAGACAGTATTGTTTGTAATAATTAAAGAATTTTTCATGCAAAAACCTGTAATGTTTTTCTGAAAATTAGCTCCAAGAGATACCTATAACATGTTTCTGCAAAACAAGGCCAATGATCTGTAAACAGATGCTCTCCAGCTGTTGAGTTATCTGAAATAAAAAAAAAAAAGTTTATTTTAAAATTTAGTTAAGACAGTAATTTGATCAATGTACTTGATTAATTCAGTTTAAGTTCTTTAAAACAAAAAGGCTTTTTATCACTTTTTAAATTCTGATTTAATGATCACAAGATTGTGAAATAAAGTCTCATTGATTTAAGTACCCAAATTTTCAATAAACAGTATTGCTTTTTAAAACATGCCACTTGCAGCATTTTTGTTTATTTTAAAAATTCGTATTCGAGACTTAATCTGCAGATCCTATAAAAACCTGTTTCTGCCGTCCTTTCTGGATATAAAATAAAAGGTGATGCTAACACCGTACTCCAAGACTTTGAGGTATGGCCTCAGTCCAAAATCTCTGAAGTAAAATGGGAAGAAGGGAGGGAGGGAGGGATGATTTTGCTTAAGATCGATGAAGAGCTTCCCAAAACTGGCCCAGCAAGAGGACCACGTGTAGAATTTAGAAGGATACAACTGTGCTAAAGTCAGACAAAACCTACTGTGTGGCTGGCTATTTATTGGGGTGGGCAAGTGAGAGGATAATTTATTCAGCCTTGTGATGTTGGACAGAGAGATTACATTTATTAAGGAAACCAAGCTACAAGGAGACTTATATGGCCACATTGCAAGTCTAAGTGAAACCAACAAATAAAGGCATTTCATGTTATTGCCACTGGTCATTCATTAAACACAAAATCCTGCAGGATGTCAGGTTTCCTGGGTTTCTTCCAGCAAAGGGCTTAAGTATGTGATCACAGATTCATCCATGTACCTTCAGGCAGAACATTCAGACACATGGCTTAACAATGATCATCTCCTAAGCTCTACATAGTTAATGGTGAAAAGGAAAGGAATTTCTAAGGAATTTCAGCCTTGCATATCATTTGTATATCGTTTATATCACTTCTAAAATCATGTAAGATTCAGAGATGAAGAGCATTCTGCACAGTATTTTAGTTTGTGCTTCACATAACTGAAAAACAAGCTGCTAAATTTATATCCAAAATACCCCAAGCCCCAAGGGTAAAACCTGAAGATCTACTTCAGATTAGTTAAACTGAGCATGAAGAGTGATAACAGATTTCATGTTAGTTTTCAAAAGATGTAAGGGGTTCTTGTAAAGGAATGAAAGATGTTTTCAAATTCAAACGAACACAATGGTCATATAGGAAAATATTATGAAGCTTATAATTTTAGAATACATTAATTAGAATATTAAGATTTCACTTCTGCAATGAAACCTTATTATTGTAAATCAGAAGGAAGATATCTAGGACAAAGCATTTTTGTGCTTTATGTCAGCTGAGCTCAAAGTTACTGACAGACTTTGTCCCTTTTGTCAGTCACTGAATTCCTTCCTACCTCAGCCAGCTCAGGTGCTATGAAAAGAATTATGTTGCAGGGAAAACATGATGTATTACAACAGAAAGACCAGTTCCTAGGAATTTTATCCAAGAAACTGCTAGGTAAACAACAAAATGAGTCACCATTACAAAAAGTCACACTTACGTAACATATTACTCCTCAAAATCTACTTTAATAGCCTGTAGTAATTGTCCAATGAAGTGATCACCAGAGTAAGGGCTAAAGATTTTACCCTCATGATATAAATACCCTACAAATTTAAGAGCTAAATTAAGAAAACACAAAAGTAAACTGGGCTTTAAATTCAGATTTGTCAGAGGTCACTTGGTACTAATTCATCATCCTGCTATAGTAAATACACATTCACGTCCATCAAGTGATGCAACACATGCATAGAACTGCTTGTCATCATGAAGGGAAGGCGTGAGGGAAAGCAGATGTATGTAAGAAGATCTCACCTCCTTGTGATCTTCCACAACTGTCAGGATAGTGTCAATTGTGTGCAAGATGCCCATGGCCATAACTGTTTTGTCCTCCACTTCCTCATATTCCTCACTCTGAAGTACTTTACCAAATATTTCAGCCTATTAAAAAAAAAAATAAAAATTCCATGCAAAACCAAGATAGCTAGTGCAAAACCAGCAATGCCCTATCTGTGAGAGCCATCTTTGATGAAAAATATGCTACTTAGTTTTGAAAGTTTGGAGGTCTTTCTAGGCTTTTTTTTTTTTTTTTGTGAAGTGTGGTTATGTTAAGACATTTGAAATGTTAAATAGTCAGAGCTTGACTCATTAACATCACGGACAAAATTCAGTATCTCAGAAAAGCTTAAAGGTTTTAAAGATGCTTCAGACGGAAAAAAATACAGTATTATGAATAGTATAGATGAATTCTGTAGGGACTATTTTAAACAGTGTGCACTTCAAATAAAGTTCCTAAAATATTTAACAAACCACATATGTGCTTGTGACTGGACTGTGATTTTAATACTGTCTCTTACCAGGTGTTGTGTCATGTCAACAGCAATGGTAGCTACTTCCTGGCTGTATTCACAGATCATCTTCTGGATTACATTAGTAAGATCATCATTTTCTGTCTCTCTAACAATATGCAAGAGCTCTTGCATAACTGGCCTTACATATGGCTTCACATATTCCTTGGCTGAAAAAAAAAATAATATTGAAATTAGGTGGAATTAACTATCCTTGAACATAAAGACATAGTAGCTGAAAACTACTAGTTAACTGGCTACTCTTACATGAAATATTTTTTAAAAGTTTAATTCACATATACATGCACAAAAAAACCTACCCACGGCACTTTTACAGCCTGTAAGTAGTAGACTAAGTAAATAAAATGTACGTTCACCACCATGTCATTCATCTCAGTAAAGAAAAGCCATTTACAAAAAATACATGTATCCACTGTTTTAGGGGAATACATGCCTTCATACATGGGTGGAATTAATCCTTAAGCAAACACACTATTTCACTTCATTAAACAAAAACAAAGACAGATATTATTTACTTTATTAAATGAAATATGTTGATACTGACTCTTGTGCAAGAAACCTCCCATAAAACTTGAAGTCAGAATCTGCAATGTATACAGTATCTAATGAGTGAGTGAAGCTGTCAAAAGGTGATAAAGTATTCTGAAATCTGTCATTAAATGGCAGAAATGTTCAGATAACTCTATGCAAACCTCCTCATCTCTACCAATAAATAAATAAATCAGTATATACAACTGATGAATCACTGTAGCATACCTTGCTCCTGATTGCTTATTAACATCTGAAGAGCTATAGCAGCTTCTACTTTAACAGGCATTTCCTTATCATCAATCAGGCTCTTCTTTGCCAACTCTACTGCATTCCTCAAGTTCAGCTCATTGTGAAACTTCAAAGCACTGAATGAATGAAGTACCCAACAGGACTGCGTGAAAAAAGGAAAAAAAAGCAACTTAGGGCTATTTTTTTTCTTGATTACAGTGTGTTCATACAATAACATGTGACACAGTTTTTGCACTCAAGAGTTTTGTATTTTCCTTCCTCAAATTCCAATAAATCCAGTATGCACATAATCGGTATTCACAGTTTTGGTCCTCCTGAGGACAAAAAAAAAATCAGAAAAGAATTTGAAGAAAATGAACTGTTTGTTTATGACTCGTAAGGACAATTGAATTTTGTTCACACTACATTCAAAGTCTCATTACCTATTCTGTGGAAATCCTACCTATTCTTCACAGCTGTCCAACACCTCTAGTTATTGAGATCTGCTAATGAAAAATGGTCACAACCACTGTTCAGATTCTCTTGTCTGACTGAGGTAGTAAACAATAATGTAACAGATCTTTCATCAATTCATTTAAGTGACAAACCATTTTTAAAATAAAAATGCTGAAAAATTACTGTACAAGATAGTTATTACAAATTCTACTATGTATTTGCTTTATTTCTTTCATTGACATTCAGAAAGAAGTTAAACTGCGAAGGAAAGAATCATGCCAAATACTGAAATTGATATAATTGGTGAACTTACTCTAGCTCTGAGGTACCCCAGGTTTGACATGAACAAAGGAAATACATGGTTCTGTAACATCAGCTCCATTTGATCCTTGAATACACTCTTCTGTTGGTGAAAATAAAAATTAATTTTTGAGACCATTCATTTTATTTATTCCATTTTAGCTAGCAATCCATTTTAACTATCTTGAAGTCCATGGAGAAATGCAATTATTTGTCCAACTAATACAGATATACTTTGTCTCATGAAGAGATCTGAATCTTGTGTCTGGAACTGAGCAAACCCAATGAGCGTTGCAAGCTCAAAGCCATTTTAGTAATAAAAAAACAAAACAAAACATACATATAATATTCAACTTTACACTATTGTTTACAATATACCTGATTTTTATTTTTATTTTTTTTTTTTTTACCTATACCTTGTACATACTTGTATAGGTATATTTACTTATACCTGGAATTTTCTTTGTTTCTAAAACACTAGTTCCAGCTGACTTGTATTCCTAAAAATTAGTTAGGATGAAGAACCATGTACCCCCACCACCCCCTCCTGAGACTTCCTGCAAAGAAGTACACACATAGCCTAAGATAAATGAAAGCTTAGCATGAAATAGATTTGAGTATCAAATGACCTGTTATTACTATAAACATTAAAGCTGATTCTTTTACATGCTACAACTCACATCATTTTATATGTCTACTAATGTTGCTAATAATGTTGTTATCAATGGAAAAAAATAAGTATTTTGTGAAAGAAATCTCTTTGGCAGGAGAGGGATATTCAATTATTCTTCAATATTCCAAATTTGGTGAATCAAAAGACATTTACAGAAAGCCAGAACCACCAGCACAGACACTGGGGTCTTTCCTATGACCTATAATCTCAGCAGATGAGAAAAGATCTATGCTGGGGACTGTGTTACAACCTAAAGGAATGGTTGAGTGGCTAAGGTGAGAAGTGAGGAAAGGGAACATACAATACAAAATATATCTTAACTGATCAGACTCCTACTTCACTAATCCATTCATCATTTTTCCCCACATAGTTTCCCAAACCTTCAGAGAGGTAGATGAAGAACTAAGGAGAGGAAAAAAACACAGAGAAGGGAAAACACAGGTGTACAAAAGTCAGAGGTTTGCATGCACTGAACTGGAGTGCCTGTGGAGAGATCCATGTGGGTAAGTCAGGGTCATCGTGTCTATGAGCTACTTACAATCTATATCTCAGTCAACTCATCAGCCAGAAGACACTTACAAATCAAGTGCTTTATGCAGAAACAGTTTGTGGAATTTTTCCATCTGCTAAATGCCAAACACAAGAAATTCAGAGTAGAGAGGAGACTGCAGTGTTTGGGGATTACTACTCTTTTATAAAATATGTTGTAACTTTAAGTTTCATGACTGAAAATTTCAAATACCAGCAGCATAGTGGAATAAATCCTTTATTTTCCTCAGAACAGAGATAAATGAAACCCCCTTCAATATGAAAGGTTTTCCACAGCACAGAGAATATCCTCCTCTTTCACTGTGATATTCCAACATGAGGACGAGTGTTTATAACCCACTGTATCTACAAAACTGTTGCAAAAGTTATTGATGTTTCAGGATTTTGGATCAGATCAGTATATGTTGGTAAAATATACCGATATGTTGGTAAAATATACCGATAAATATTCCTTGCAACATGAGTCATAGAACCACAGATTCATTTAGGTTAGAAAATACTCTTAAAGATTGTCAGGTCCAACCGTCACCTAACGCTATCAAGTCCACCACCTAACCAGGTACCCAAGCACCACAGTCACACATTTCTTTAATATCTGCAGGGATGGGGATTCTACCACTTCCCTGGGCAACCTGTTCCAATGCCTAACAACCCTTTCTCTGAAAAAATTATTTCTGATATCCAACCTAAACCTCCCAAAGCGCAACTTCAGGCCATTTCCTCATATCCCATCGCTTGACACCTGAGAAAAGAGATCAACTCCCACATCCCCACAGCCTCCTTTCAGGTACTTGTAGAGAGCAACAAGGTCTCCCTTCAGCCTCCTGTTCTCCAGACTGAACAGCCCCAATTCCCTCAGCTGCTCCTTGAAGCTCTTATTTTCTAGGCCCTTCACCAGCTTTGTTGCTCTCTTCTCTGAAGATGTTCCAACAACTCAATAACCTTGCAATGAGGGGCACAAAACTGAAGACAGTATTTGAGGTGCGGTCTCACTAGTGGTGAGTACAGAGGGACAGTAACTTCCCTACCCCTGCTGGCCACATTATATCAGATGCAGGCCAGGATGCCCTTGGCCTTCTCAAGCACTTATTTAGTCAGCTGCTGACCAGCACCTCCAGATCCTTTTTTTTGCTGGGTAACTTTCGAGCCACTCATCTGCAAGCATCTACTGTTGCATGTGGTTGTTACAACCCAAGTGCAGCACCCAGCATTCAGCCTCATTGAATGCAAGGCTATGAATGAAGAAACATCCTGCACAGAGAGACAACTCACATAAAATAAATTTTTGCATACTTGAAAAGGAAGCCTCCAGCACAAAACCCCCATTTTCATTGTAAAAATTGTAACTTTTTGGCAGTTACTCTTGACATGGAGAGAGGGCAAGGAGTACTTGGACTCCAAGGTCTACCAAAATGTAAGGGAAACTGTAACTACTAAATTAGCAACATTGTGGGTTAAATGTGCATTCAAATTCAGGAGAAAAACCTCAAATTGTAAAGATACTGTGTGTAAAACATGGAGGAAGGATTGAAACCCTGTACTCTTTGCACTTATTTGCAAAACTCCCAAGGGGCTGATGAAATGAGACTTAGAGTAATGTATTTTAGGGTCTAAAGGCTATAAAGCTAGACAAAACAGTCTTACATGTTAAGTAAACATTTTTCTGGAACCAGCAGAAGCCCACAATAGTGCAAGCTGTTGGGGATTTCGATGAAGAATCATAAGCAACGTTACTGGTGGTACGTATACATTTTTTTTTTTTTTTAAAGCCCTTCCATTTTACTAGTAAAGCATGAGAGAAACAAGGGATGGTGCAGTAGCAAACAAGCAGAGCTTTGGAGAAACTTGAGAACAAAAATCAGTATACAAAATGGGAATATAAAAAAAAGGAAAGAATGTTAATATTTTTAAAGAAACAAACCCTAAGATTCTTATTGCACAGTGCAATCTCTCCACTGACTTCATTAATATGGTTATGAACTAACCATACTTCAATAAGCTACCATATTCCATTGGAAAAGGGAGTTCATAATAAGAATTATAAATATAAACCTATTTGACTTCCTTACCCACTTACCTTCAGTAAAATATCTGCTAGGGATCCTATAACATGCAAAGCTCCATCTTTTTTCCTTGGATCAATGTTTGGCTCTGTCAGAATCTGGTAGCAATATGCCATCATTTTCGGTAATACCTACACAAGACAAAAGACAATCTCCTTTTGTCAGTGAGGTATCTAAATCAAATTATTTCAATAGCATTGTTGAAGTTTAAAGAAGTTATGACTTTTACAAGAAGAAATCTTATCCAGACCAAAGTAACTGGAAGGTACTGTAGTACTATATGTAGCATCTTTCCATATTTAAAATTTAGAAGCTTCATGTTCCAGCTTTTCACCCAAACTTGGCAAAATAGTTTATTTGAAATGTCATATTAGTAATTGCAAATAAGGTATTTTTGTTGTTTTGACGCAAATCAAAAAAGGCAAAGAGAAAAGAGACTCAAACAGTATTTCATAGTTGTTTTAGCAAACATGCATGCTTTCCAGGGCTAGGTTGAATCCTTTTTTTTTTTTTTTTTTTTTGCATGTATCAGTGTTAAGTATAGAAAGAAAAGCGTCCACAGAAAAGTTATGCACTTATTTAAAGAGCAGCTGTATGAAATTAATTTCATTCTTCCTGATTTCATCGTTGTCAACAGGATTTTAAGTTGCATCAGTGAAAATTAACGAGGATCAGGTTCACTTTTCCTCCTGCTACAATTTGAGAAGCTCTGAACAGCCATGACAGAGGCTTGAGAAAAATATCATTACATCTATTCTCTGACTCAGTTTTTATCTAGCAGGCTAATTTTACATCTACAAGAGGAAATAATTTTTTTATTAATACATATTTTAATTCTCCCCAAATTCATAGCACTCAGCCAGGAAAGAGTTTGATTATGTATCAGCAAGTACATTTTTCAAGATTAGCTTCTTGTACTATCTTCAATTTTAAGTGAAAATAACATTTTAAAGAAAACTTCAAATAAAAATTAAAAAACACTAGTGCCATACCTCTTTTCTCTTCTTTGCTGCTGTATAAAGCAGATTCTGTGCTGCTGTTGTAGTGGATGCATAATCTTCAAATACATCTAACATTAAAAAGAAATAAACTCACTTTCTGAATACAACATAATTAAATTTTGATAAAGTGGCTTGAGTTTGCGGGACACAAAACTACTCATGGCTGTCTTCACTTCATGGTTAAAGAGCCAGACCCAAGCTCATGTCACCTATAAAAGCATTTACTTCTTGCCTTCCTAGTCTACTAAGCACTCATCACTCTCTTTATTAAGAATGCATTATTTATTCATTAATTCTTTTGAGACCATGTATTTAAGAGATGAAAAATTCTGTGCTTTTTTTTTTTTAATTAAAACCACTATAGGAAGAACAACAATGCATTCCAGTGCCATCTGCATACCATATGTACACAATTTTGACTTGATTTTATTAAAACCTCATGGGAACTCTGAATGTAAAAAATACTTGGATCTGGGAGTAGTTTTAAATCTGCTGAAAGTTGAAGCTTTTTACCTTCTTCCATTACAAGTAAACCTCTTTTAATCATATTGAAAATATAATTTATGTATTGAAAAAAAATAATCTGTGCTGCCAAGCATGTTCTAATCCAAACATCCCTACACAGATTTAATTAAATAAAAGGTCTAGAAAAGTAATCTTAAAACGTGGTTAAAATTACACATTAACTTTCCTGAGATTTTAAAGATAAATCATGATTAAGAAATACTACCAGACTACTGGAATTCTTGTTCCAAATCCAAATGCTTCTCACAAAATTTAAAGTAAATGTACTTTTATGCTTTTATTTTCCTACCTTCCACAATACAATTCAAATCTGTATTTAACTCTCAGTCACAGATTTAAAAAGGCTTCACTGCTTACAAAGAAAGAACTTAGATACCAAAAATCAGCTACATATCCGTACCCCAGTGATCAGCGCTATATCATGATCCATTTCCTATATAATAACTCTCCAAGTGTTTTTTTTGTGTATTTTATTTTTTAAAGTATTCTAGGATCTTTTATATTCTGTTCTTACATATGCTAACCAGAAGGCAACTAATTAAAAATCTCCAAATGCTAAATGTCTCTGTGGTGCCTGGCTTACTGGAATTTTCCAGCTAAAATTGCTATATTTTTAAATTACCCTTCCCTTTTTCAATGAGGTAACTCTTTTAATACGAATTATTTGGTCCAAGATTTTTCACTAAGCATTTTGAAAGAACACTTGTATCTTTGTTTTACAATTTAGTGATAACAATTGGCAAGAGATAGGGAAAACATGAACAATTTTCAGTAAAGAAAGAGCAAGTCAGGCCTCTTCTGGTCAAAGTGTGAGCTGCAAGAACTTGCAGACAGCTGTTAACATCTCCAATTCAGGATTCTGAAACTGGCATTAAAAGGTGAGCAAGCCAATCTGTTGGGCTGCACTGAGCAAAACTGAAGTAGAAAAAGATGTGTTATGAATGTCAAGTGAATGTGTCAAATGAGTGTCAAGAACGTCAAGTGAACTAGTTTAAGAGCACCAACCAAATGGCCAGAACTCATTTGATCTGCCTTCCTCTTAGTTACAGATTCATGAGATTTAAGAAAAAAAAAATCTCTTCTTCCTACTGTTCAGGACACTGGTGAAGACAGAGACATTACAGTGGCCGTGGTATATTTGGGACTATGGTGTACAATTGTGATGAAAGCAGAAAATAAATTCTAACTAAAAACAGTTACCAAATTTCATGCGGATATATTCATATGGATCCTCTTGCCAGAGCTCTTCATCCTCGTCTTTGTAGCACATTAGGGAGAATATCACCTCTTCTGTTATACTCTAATATTAGAGGAGTAAAATACACATAAGTACATAGAAAATCAAATTGTAGTATAGCTTCCCTCCATTGTGCACTAGCTTAATAGAACTATTTTTCTGAAGAGTAAAATTCTTTTACTCTTTTATTTTGGTTAACAGAACTAACTTACAATACATGTACTTCTCTTTTGCAACAGACATAAGACAGAAGTAATTATATAATCCAGCTTTATGATAATCCAGCACCACACAAAATGTACTTCAGGACATAGTCTGTGAATAGCAGAGCACTGCATTCTACAGAAGGCTCTCACCAGTGCAACATCTAATATGAGACTGGGTTTCAGCATCCTTCCCATAATGTTCATGTGATTAACTGACCACAACAGTGGAGCTTACAACATGAAAAAAAAAGTATGAAAATCACTTTTCACTTGTTTTTACATATATTTATAAAACACGCTCTTAAAACAGAGTTCAGTTCCTCATAGTTGATGTTCTCTTTGGTGACTGTCTTTGCACTGCGATCAATTATTAATTTCCAAACTTATAGTAATTTCTGAAAATTAATAACAAATAAAAGCCAGAACATTAAGACTACCTGTCAGAATTCAGCAAAATAAAGAACTTATGGAACAGCATCTTTAATTGAGTTCACAATATCTGCAATAAAAGTTAGTCATAATACTGTAAGAAACAACCACATTAGTGTAGGAATGCTGTTTTTCATCGAGGTTGATCACTGCATGAAAGATTTATGAAACATTTAAAACTGAAAAAAATATACACTTATCAGCCTGACAACATGCAGTGTTTATGACTGGATTTTATGCACTGACCTGTATGTGTGGCTTCATTTGCTTCCATGTTACAGAGTGTATCACCCCTTGGTTCAGGTAGTTTAATGTCTGCTGAAGAACACGTGGTGCAACATAGTCTTTTTGTCTATATTGGTCTAAGATTCTTAAGAGAACCTAAAGAAATAACAAATTGATATTTTTAAACGAAGACAGAAAATTAGCCCTCACGCACGGATATGCAGAGCACCTTTTCAGTGAATTCCAGCATGGACAGAATAGTTTTACAGCAGAAGTTCTAGTGTTAGTAATTGCTGTAAGGCCTTTTACTCAAGAGTCAGAAATCATTTAAACATTAAGGACCTGATCATGCAAGCATTTATGTACATTTTGCCACTACACTAGATCACTATACATGTATGTCATCACCTGTGATTGTAAACCAAAGACATACTTCAGTATTCACAGACTCACAGTTTACACAGACCTCAGCAAAATTCGGAATAGATACAGTAAAGGAACAGTGAGATTTTCTAACTGTTTGGCTTTGAATGGTGTCTGTGTTCATTTGTAACAGACAGGCCCCTGAGGAAAACATATGACTTTAGAAGAGTGGTAAGAACAGAAATACTAAACCAAAGAAAAGAAAATTAGGTTAACACCTAAATCAGTTAATCGGAAGAGATGCAAAAACCTTAACTTCAATTGCCCGTTGTAACTCTCAGATAGTAATAGTATGCTACATGATACAAACTCTATTACACAATGCTTCTTTGTTATAAAGACTTGATCTACTAAGAAAAACAGTACAAAGCCACTAATCTGCACTAATAGCAAACGAACAACTAAATGTTAGTAAGCGTAAAGACTTGGCACATACATGAATAACAATAAAAATCAAGCAAAATGCACTACAAAATATTTGAATCATGTTTTCAGAAGGACAACTCTACTTCAGAATTCTTTACAACAACAACATTACAATAAATCTTATTTTGAACGCAATTCCTTCCCTTAAGGGTACTAAGTCTGACCTAGTCTTTTTTACAATAATCTCCTTGGGCAAAGATTGTCCATATTTCATATGAACTCTAGCAACAAGAACAACTAGAACAACTGATAAATAAGTAACAAAAGCTTAGTCATGTAATATTCGCCATAGCATTCATACTAACTATGCAGTGAAATGTGGCAAATCAGCATTTATGGGAGAGAAATGAAAGAAATGTGCAGATCTTCTAGACCATTTATCTTTCAAGCTAAACGGCTCTCTGCTACATTTCCTAGTCTTTCATCAGACATAAGCTTTAACTATCGCAAATGACAGCTGCCCATGGAAGGCTATTTCTCCACTGAGAAATTAATCATCGCAAAGAGCTTAGAATTTATGTTAGATTGCTTCCCCCTCCTTTTTATTTAATATTTACAGTCTCACCAAAGCCATCCTTTAGTTCTTATCACTCACATATTTACACAGCATTGATACACTGATGGATAAACTGTTTGTTTATTTCGCTGGTTTTGTTTGTTCTTTTGTCAAACTGGATTGAGAAAAGTAATTTTGTTTTACAGACAATCCTTTTATTTTGAAAGCTAGTTTAAATCTGACTTGATTATCAAGCATAGTCAACATGGGTTCATAAGGGGAAAACCTTGCCTTGGTAATCTGATCTCCTTCTATGATGAAGTCAACCTTTTGGTGGATAAAAAGGTGGTGGTGGACGTAGTCTTTCTGGATTTTTGTAAGGTTTTCGATACCTCCTCTTTTGGAGGTTTCTTCCAACCTTAAAGATTCTATTGTTCTATGAGCAGGAGAGTGTATTGAGTGTCCAAAAGCCTGGACACTCAAGAGATTTAGTTGAAAAGTTGAAAGCCTGGGAAATAGCACCCCCAGTCATCCAGTACATAGCAGGCTGGATGAGAAACAGCAAGAGCTGTACCAGAAACATCTGATCTTGTGAACCGCTATGCTCGGGCTTCCAAGCACCCAATTGCTATAGCCATTCCACCAAACCAGGGAGAAGTCTGGAAGCCCACGTTCCCAGATGCCCACAATTAAGCTGGCAAAAAATTGCAAAACCTCTGACAGGAACTGCCTCTCTGCTGTGCAACTTTACCAACTTTACTGAACTGTCTCCAGAAAGCTGCATTAAATATAAATACTAAGCATTCCCCAACAAAACAGTTTTCCTGTGAACTGTGAATTTATGCCCTGTTTTCATAAAATATGCTTACCGTGTATAAAGTAACTTCTATAGCTATTCTCCAGACACCTTCTAATCTGATTACATCTTCCTAACATAAAATAGGACAGGCTCTAGTGTTCCTAAGATGTCTGCTGCAAAATCACTTTCTAAAGAGTGATCTGAAAATACATCCCTTTGTGATGCGAAACCCATGCATCATTTCTTTTCTCTCAGTTACACAGAGAATACTTATACATGATGATAACACTGTTTTATAAGCACTCACCTTTTATGAAAGTTTTCCTGCAGGGTTTTTTTTGAATTGCTGAAAATTTGTGTTATTATACCTCAGTTAAGTATGGGACTAAGATGAGTTCTAAAGAATTTCACAATCACTACAATGAAAAATTGGCCTGGTTCTGTTCAGTTTTGTTTCCCAAACTTCGCTGTGAGCACACTGTTTATTGAAAAGTAATACCTTCGCATTCAGCCAAAATGATCTAATTCAGAAACAAATGAATTGTGCTTACCTGTTGTATGCCCACAGCATATGTTTTTAAAAAAAACTCTGAGAATTCAAAGTATTCTTTCGTTACATTTCCTGGACTTCCATACCTTTAAAACAAAGAGAAGACAGATATTTACATCGTGAAGAGTATTCTGTGTCAAGGAAACACAGTACTTTCTACAACACCAAGGACTCTGAGTAGCCTCCCATCCCCAACAAATCCTTTTCCACAGATACCCTACTAAGTCATTATTTCCTCACTTAATGTTTCCTCATATAATGCCTCACTTCCCTTTTCTTTTCTTAGATTCTCAGATGGTACAATATTATAGTCAAGTAAATATAAAAGCATTTTTGTCATAAGCTCTACAACTTCCATGTTTTTGGACTTCTTTTGAAATCTTTCTCTGTCTTCTTATTCAAGAATACATGCAGTTGTAGCTGAACACAGTAAAAAACCAATATCTATCTATCTATATTTATATATTATACACACACATATATATATGTATATATATACTTTTTCTGGCTAGGTTCCTGCTGGCTTAGAAAGCCAAATTATCTCACTAAAACCTCTAACCACTGGATGTGTCAGTGCAAGGTGAAGAACAGTAGCAGAAACATCTCTTTGGTGAACACATTAAATCAATTGCTAAATCAACTCCACTGTCTTGTCTAACAGTACCATAAGCAATGTTAACAAGATTTGTAAACCCAACTCAGTTTTTAATTAGTTTGTTACCGTTCAAAAAGACGAGCTACAATATGTAATGCCCACTTCTTGCATTTCCACCACACCAACTCTGGTCTGTCATCTTCATCAATTTGCAAAGTCTCCTATAAATAAATGCATATAAATAAATGAATTAGCTCTGTGTTGTGTTGAGAGAAAAATCATGTTTTACACATTCCTCACCCAGTAAGCTAATACAAATTCACAGCATTGACTAAAGCTTTGGTTCTGTTAAAAGTTATATAACATTCAGAAACTTAAAAATACCTTAATCGGTCAATATAAACTGTGTATGTGCAATAGCTGTATTGTGCTTGTACTTTAATTTTCAAAATTACGCATGCTTAAAAAATGAAACTCTCATATATGCTTGGATAACACAGTAGCATGCACTTTTGCTTAAAAATTAAGCAAAATTAACACTGCTCCTCCAAATTTATATAACCTAACCATATTTTTTAATAGCTTTTGCATTGCAATGTTACACTTGTGAAATAAATATCAAAAAATTTTAGAAATGCCAGTTGTTGTACAGACACACACACACACACACATATTTAGTTACTTTTTTCATCTTTTCTTCATAAGATGTGGAAGACGGAAGAAAGAAAAAGAGAAACAGAAACAAATGATAGATTCATGATGAGGTTTTTCTTCTTGAGAGAAAATGGCTAAAATATTTGGAAGCTTCCAAAATATCACAGACTGGAGTTCACATATTAATTCTACCTTAGACAGCAAAACTCTGATAGCTTACACGACTCTCCTGCATTTCTGTCAGAATAACACCTATTTTAAGGATAAGAATCTCAAATAGATGAGATGACATATTAAAAAAAAAAAAAAAAAAAAAGACCACTGAGAAAATCTTTATGCTGACTGTTCCTCAAATGCCACCACACAAATACCAGAGGTCTTTACACTACTAAACCTTACAGGAGGCACGTTTCTATCAATGATGGTACGGAAGACCTCCATCCACTGGGTCATAGTCTGGTTATTCACCAACTGGAGTGGCAATGCGTACTGAAATAAGGAAAAAAAAAAACAAAACAACATCATGGTCATTAAATACTGTTTGTTTTTTTTTTCTTGAAGAAGGCAGAAGATATTTCTACAGTTGTTATACTCCCAGGAAGATGAGGTTCTAAGTAAAATTTAAATTAGGTTAGATATCATTACTACTAAAACCTTCTTGGTATCATTGACAGAGAAACTTCTGATTGGACACTATTTGAGGAAAGTTCCTTGGCTTGAGAACTTGCTAATTCTTTTTGTTTCCTCCTGTTCTTCAAAATAGTCCAACTGAGTTTTACAGACCACAACAGAAGCTAAACAGCACAGTTGAGATACTCAAATAGTTTATATCAGATTATGCACAAATTTACATAGAAATATTTCTCCAACAAGCTTATATACAGGATGCACAAAAGTACCTAGGTTCATAAAAAAATGTAATCCTGGGGATCACGTGACTAGTTTTTAAGTAGACAAATCTACCTAATGTGATTATAAAAATCACATTTTTATAAGAGCTATTTATTGAACATGACTTTTCACATACTAATTGATATTTTTACTCAGTGACACCCATGAGTGCACCGAAGGGGATTGCTTTGCCCATCAATGTAAAAATTGTAGTGTCCTGTACACAGATGCCAACCTGAACAAGAGCATAGAAGATTTTTAAGATTTGTTTCTGAAGAAGTACAGAGTAATGGGAGTTATCAGGCAGAAGCTGGATCATTTGCTGCTGAATCCGGGGCAAAAATATTTGCATTGCTGCTATGAGGGGATCTCGCTCCTCTGCTTTTTTGTATCTGCAAAGGAAACAAAAATGTGGGTCAAGGATCTACACACGATCTAATGCCTTCTCCTCACCAGCGATTTAAGTACTGTGACAGAGGGTACTGTACTATGACATCAAAGTATAAAATACTTTATATTCATATTTCCAGCATTTGGGGAGTCTTCAAACAAAAGAAGCTATAAGCATCCTAAGTTTTTCCACAGATGGGTTAAATCAGATCAAAAGTACAAAGCCTCACAAATACAAATTATTGCTGAAATCTCTGCTTTCGATTCACTGATGATATAAAGATGATGAATAGTTTTCAATTATTTACAGCAAAGGAAGCATACGACAATTATTAATTCTCATCCTCTAGCTGAATTCCTTGTAGAACTGCCAGTGCTCTTAAGAAGGTCATTCTCAGTAGTCAACTGAGAACAAAAGTACTGAGACCTTGTTTACTTCTGGATTTCAACTTACTCATAAGTCTTCACCAGCTGATAGAGGCACAGGAGGCTCCCGAGCCAACTCCCACTGTTCTGAGACTGCAAGTAGTAGCCTATCTTGTCCACTACAGCTGTCCAATGGCTAGGAAAGTCATGTTTAATGATAGTGCGGAGGCACATTGTCAGCTGGGCTCTGTAGCAGGAGAGAAAAATAAACACCTTAAAGTAAATAAGGTCATGGCACAGTCTTTAATATTACAGGACAGATCCCAAATCTTGGTTTAATGGCTACAATATGCATATTGCATCATAACTTTCATATATATTTTGGTAACACTGAAATAGTTCTGGAAGATGATAGAAGAAAAGCAAGAAAAAAAAAACTCATGGTATTTAAGGAAAAAGCTAATTTCAGAATATTTTAACTACTTTTCTCTGCTCCTCCTCACTCTCCACAGCCATCAGACAATATTTGAAAGCAATTAACTGTTCATGAAACCAGTTAGCTTTGTGTTTTGAAAACAAGTGGTTATACTTCTAAATACTTACAAGGTTGAAAGCAACCACAAAAGAACAAATTTGTACATTTTTATTAAACAAAACTAGTTTGTGTTCTGATCCAAGCCAGAGGGTCCTCATCAAATAATAATTTTCCTGGTATCTTCCCAAACAGCACTTCACAACCTCTGAAGCATACTGCAGAGCAAATGAGGTAAAACGTTGTATCATTCCTCTCCCTCCACACAGCCTTTGAAGCCACTCACAATGGTGTGGCAAGACAGGATTGTTAGCTGACTGATGCCAGGTGTGACTAAAAAAGTTGAGCAGCACTAAACTAGAAACTGTAATTGCTCTTAGCTCTGCTAAAGAATGAAAGAAAAAGCCTGCAGTAAATATTGTTTCTTTTATATTTGGTGCTCCTTGCAGTCCAATACATAAGGAGCCACTATCACCAAGTAGTTCAATAAGGGGCTCTCAACTCTTTGATGTGTTGACCTTTGTACAAACTTACCTTCCCCCTCAAGCCCTTGGAGCTTGTCCTTGCTGCTGATTTGGTTCCTTCTCCTCCCTTACTCTCACAAGCAAACAGTGAAAAACACCAGTATCACAGCATCAGACTAGTTCCAGTTTTCTTTGACATTTTTAACCTTTGACAAATTTACAAGTTCTTAGTCAGTATTTAGAAACCCTCTACGTTATTCGAGGTGTTTTTCTGAGGAGTTTCAACAGTCCTTTTAAATGTACATGGCTATTGTAATGACAAGGTATTTTGAATATCATGTTATGAAAAGATGCCTGAACTAGTTTGCAAAAAAAAACAAAACTCCTCAAAGCTCCATTATTTTGTGCTCTTTTGTATAAACCTAGCCTTGGAAATTACAACATGATGAGGTGGGAAACTACATGCCCTTTTTACACTATCACAGAAACAACATAAGCTTCCTTACGCTGTGGCACAACTCCAGAGAGGAGCTCTCTGAGGGGGGATTCTAATCACCTAACTCAGAGACTTCGAAAATCTGAACTGGAAACAGTGCTTTAGTTCATTCTCTTGTATTGGTGCAGGATACAAGATACTAGGATACCTGTCAAGTGTTTGTCTAATCCGTTCATCAAGATACCCACTGAGAGCAATGCTAGAGCAACCTAATGTATTCCAGTGTTTGTTTGTTTGTTTTAATCAAACGTTTTCCCTAACCATAATTTCAATCTATAGTCAATCACTCCTCTTCTTGGTAGGATGACTGGCCAAAAAGACATCCTCGGGCACCTAGCCAGTTGAAAGAAGGAGGAGAGGAAGAATTTCATCTGTTTTTCAAAGATGCACATCTCTATATGCTGTAGCCTAACCTACTCTTACCAGATTCATTTTAATTAAAGCCAGGAATAATCACAGATTGTAACAAATCCATGAAACTTACTTGCTCTTCCAGAAAAAATAGAACTTTTTTTTTTCATTCTTTTAACATCTTACAACCAAGAATAACAACATGCATTTAAATGCTGTAACGATGCATAAAAATTGAAAAAGTAACTGTGAAAAGAGGTATTAGAAAAAATGGATTTTGAGCAGTATTTCCCTCAAGAGGTAATTCAGTATTATAGACAGCCCTCTGTAATATCTGCCCTGAATCGGCCACATAGACAGGCTGTCACTACAGGAAGTTTTAGAAGATGCTTTAAACTACACTGTAAGAGAATAAATCACATCACAGTGCTCTTAGCCAGGTAAATACATTTCTGAGAAACAAGTGCACACACATATGGTAAAGCTATTATTATCACATTTTCAAAAGAAGTACTCACTTCATTTCCCAAGAAATTGAGATTCTCACACATCTGGACTGGTAGATCTGAAAACCTGAGCTATAGATATATCTCTACATAGCAGAAAAATACCTCACTAAGTCAGGAGAGCGAATTATTCCTTCTACAATGTTATCACGAATCTGCTGACGATCATTTTCATGAATGTTGAAAGGAAATACTGCTTCTCCAGGAGGTGGTTCACGGTCTGGCCAGTACTGTGTCACCATGTTCTTCAGGTAAATGGCAGCTACGAATAAGCCATGTGAAAAGAATAATTTAAATTTAATTCTGAAGTATCCCCACGTTACTCTGTGCTCAATATGTAGTACAGTTGAAAGTACAACAAAGAGCAGAAAGGACAACCGAAAACCCCCTGCATGGGTTTGTAACAATTTTAAGCACTAAGCACAGGTGAAACAGAAAACCATTTTTATATATACATATATTTTATCATAACAGACAAGACTGGGCTCAAGAGTCTGGTCCTAAGTTGAGCAGGATAGCATTTCAGGCAACTCCTGTTGGAGTACGTTCTTTACTACAACAGTCTTGCGTATGGGCATAACACGCTATCACTCTAAACAAGCAAACATCATCTTATCTTCATTTTTACTCATCTCCAAAATAACAATTCAGGCTCAGTAAGGGAAGTTTTGGAAGGCTCGTGTAAACAAATCATTGTGCATGCAGAGAGGATCCTCTGCTTGGGGAAATGCCCAGTATGAAACTGGCATATGGCCTACCTTCTATTCAGACAGAAATGTGTGTTGTGAATTCCCTAAGCTTTATCTCACTACTAGGATTTCCAATAATCCCTTAGAATTGTTCCCTTCTGTCTCACATGGAAAAACATGAAAAATAAAAGCTAATCTTCCACTGAAAATAAGCAGCATTTATGCCTCGGTATTGAAATGCCTGTAGGCATTCTTTAGAAAACATAGGAAATATGGTGTAAGACATTAAAGTAATGTTCTTAATAGACTCTTATCCCTTTATTATTTAGGTTGATTACTGACTAGGGTTTTAAAGTATAAATAAGATATTCTTGGGTACAATTTTTTTGTCATAACAAGTTACGAAGTAGGAAAGCATGCAGTTTGTAAAATATTTTATAGGAACAAGAGGAAAAACAATTATTTGACTGTGAAACCCCAGGATGTTCAAATATAAAACAGGTCCAGAAAGACTAAAGACTTTAATTTACTTTATCCATAGATCTTAAGAGTGTACAAATTCTTGTCTTTTTACAAGATTTCAGGGAAATCTGTTGATTTAAAAACTAAATTCAAATGTTTTCTACTCTATTTCTCCATTCTGGAACAAAAAAAAAAAAAAAAAAAAAAAAAAACACAACTCTACATACTTGTGTTTTTTGTTGTTTTGGTTTTTGTTTTTTTACCTGAATGATAATAAAATGAGAGATTAATTTATGAAAATGACCTTATGGTGCCTAAATTAAGCATCAAACTTCACCATAGAATGGTTTAACAATGCCATTCAAAGTTGGATTATCTTTGAAAATATACACGCCAGCATGACAAACAGCATATGTCAGCATGCCTCAACACACTCAGGGGATTAATAGGATCTGTACAAAAAAACAAAACACCACCGTGCTTCAATGGGAAATGCTGTTCCATAGGATAGAAAGAGAGCAGTGAATGAAACAGTATTCATCAATTTATTGAAAAAGCTTAATAATTTACGACTCAAAAAAAAAAAAAAACAACCAACATTGTATAGGTGTAGTTAAAATAGATTATGAGAATTTAGAAACGGATCTTATACAAATGTATACCCTGAAGTTAACTGCATCACCGCACACAAAATTACATATATAGTTAAGCAATCCCTGTAGACATGCTCAGACTACAAATTTGTAATTTACCAGTAACATGAGCTCCCTTCACATTTATTTTTGTGAGTGGACACCATAGATACCAAATAAGCATATGTGGCTACCTTTGACCTACAAACTGTTTTCATTTTCAGAAACTTTGACTTTTCAAGGAAAAGGGATTCAAATAGAGAAACACTACTCTTTTCTGTTTGAATACCTTCATGTCTTAGCTTCAATCTCTCTTCACCACCAGAAGAAAGAATATCTAAGGCTCCCTGGGTACTCAGTTTTGAGCAAAAGTCATTCTCTTTCAGTATCAATATTCCAGCATTCCAGTAGGGATCACTATAAACACAGGGAAGCCAAAGTAGGACTCAATTCTATACCCATGCTTTTATCTGATCTTCATACAGGAAAAAGGTGGCAAAGACTGAAAGGTTTCCCTACTGAACCTTTCCATGTTCAGAACAAATGTGAACTTTCTTACTTTCCAGCAACTCAATACTCTGTTGAAATAACAGACTGACTTTCTATTGGAAGAAAACGAAACGAGGATTTTATCTCACCTGCTTGACGCACTGGAAATTCAACTTGATCTGATACTATGATTTGCAGTAGACTTGGAGCAAAATTGATGATCTTATAGGACTGAAATACAAATAAAACACAGTTAGCAAGTTGCTATGTTTAAAGAAGAATGTATTACCAAAAAGCTGAATAAGAATTGAAACCAAGGTTTTTGTAGAAATCTTTGACTCTCCTCACGAAGTAGGAAAGGTTTTAGCACATGGATTTACCCAAATCAGTGGTGTTCTACAGAATTACTTGAAAAAGCTGAGCAAATAATGGTACATGGGAGGAATAAGTAATGTGACAAGGCTTTCTAACTGAGATTAGTGATAATGAATATTTAAATCATTCTGAGAATCACTATACATCTAGTGAATTATTTAACTTAGCCTCATAAGTCAAACAAGCCATGTATTATACAGCTACATTTTAACAGACTAGAGGCATAGTGCATCATAACAGAAAAATACCAACTGGGGATAAACGGTGGAACAACCATTTTTAATGAAAATCAAGTGTAGACAGATAACATTCCAAAACCCACAGCTTTCCTGGGAACTTTTCAAACACTCCATCAGCCACGCAGCTGAAAAAAAATTCAAAGAGAAAACAATGCCCACTGAACTTCTGAGCAAAGCACGTCAGATTTAAAAGATGGGAAAATCTGATAGCATTATACTGCTGTCATTCAACAGGGGTCCTCCAACGTGAAGAATCGTTGACTCAGCGTGCCGCAGTTACCGCTAAGCCTTGGCAACATCACTAGTTACTCGTGGGTCAGATCTTTCGTCACTCAGATCCACGTTTGATGTTCAAAGAGAGATGTTTCTTGGGGGCTAGATGACAGACAATTTCTTATTTTACCTTTTATAGTATTTCTTTCCCACCAGATTATGTCTGGCAGTCCTGTGGTTATTTCCAGAGCAGTGCTTTCAGTGCAAGTATACTACGTCCTCCCAGAAACTTTGCCTCATTTGAAAGCTGTTAAGTAAGTGGTATGTTCTGCAGTGCATGGACCCAACTCCTTGATCTAACATTTCCATAATGAGGTAAAACTCCAGTGCTTTCACAATGCTTAAGTGTGACAGTGGCAGCACAACTCAACGGTTTTGCCAAATCACTTAACTTTGTGGCCCTCGTTTAACTCATTGTAATTGTAGCGTAATTCTAACCCACTCTGTGTTCACAGCCTCACTGGATGTTTACAGAGCAATCTGAGCTCTCAGATAAAAGCAGTAATGGCAAATCAGAAGCATACTCTCCCGCAGTTGCCTTCTCTGTAGACTTCAATTACCCACAAGCAATGCCCAAAGTAAAGCAAAAGCTGTTAGCAGGCAGCACCGGAGCTGCATTTACCTACAGGCACACTGAAACGCCAGCTTTCGAAGCCAACTGGTTGAAGCACACCAGATTCCCAAAATCACCTTTCGTATCAAGTGCACCGGAGGCCAAAGGCTGGCCTCCAGCTGCCTGCAGACAGCCCCTCACAGCTCCGGGGCGTGGGGCCGAGGGAGGCTGCAGGGATGTGAGGAGGGCATGAGGCCTCACTGAGGCACCGAAAACCAAGAACGTGTGCGAGCCCTGAGAGGCTTTTTTCCTCTAAATAGTGCCGATATGTGGTCCTCAGAGGGAGTCTACGTGCAGCTTGTACCACTAAAAATACACTGGCTAGGAATGCAGTCTTCTGGGGGGTTGTTTTGTCGTCGTTGCTGCATTTTCTGGCAGTCGTCCCGCCGGTATCACGTTTGGGATGGACGCGGCGATAGCAGCACGAATTATTTCTCTTTCCCTGCGCAAACAGCTTGTGCTGAATTTACACTGAAGTCGCAGCGAGTCCGGGAAGCTTTATTGGTACCACTTGTGCTGGCACACCAGCACTAGCCTTGAAACGCTGCCAGGATATCCACAAATAGGGGCATTTGGCCCGCGCGGCGAGCGGCCTGCAGTGCCGGGCGTGCCACGAGGCGCGTTGGGTCTCTGAGGAGGGATCATCTCCCGCCCACACACTGCTGGGGGTTTCCAGCCACCCAAAATCCTGACACCCCCCAGAGAGCACAGCATCCAGTCCCCACCAAATCCTTCTGCTCCGTACCGTTACCTTTATATCACCACTATTAAAAGCACTCTGGTTTCCTCACAGCACCCCACAATTCACATTTTTACACAGCTTCATTTTCACCATCAGAGACACGGACATGTTAGAGACGAACAGAGACTATGTGTGGCCCTTTTAGGAACAAGGCACCTGCTTGTGTTACGTCTGTGAGGCTCAAATACCACGCTGCTCACTTGGGCAGCAGCAAAGCGGTCAGGGAAACAACGCTCTGCTTGCAGTTTGGGGAACAGAGGCCTTTTGAAAAAGCCGCACGCAGCAACATTTTTCCTATACCAGCACATTCCCATTGGATTCGTTGTTGTGCTAATTGTGATCTTGGGATTGATCCTTTCACTCCCTCGCTCTGGAAAACCATCCAGCGGGCCCCTGGAAGCAGCAGGTGAAGCTGCAGGAGCTCTGTGCAGAGCCGCTGCCAGCGGGTGCTGTGCAGGTGGAAGGAGGCGATGAGGAGTCCACAGGGCTGGACGGGTTCAGCAAGACACTTGTGAAAGCAGCACATGAACTTTTACAAACTGAGTAAAGTAAAAGGAAGGTTTTCAAAAGTAAACTTTCACCAAATACAAAGAACAATGATTATTTTAAAGCTGTGTAAAACATACCGACAGCCCTTGCATTAATCACAGGTCAGGGCATCTATACAAAGAAAAAACAAACCCACCCCCATTCAATTTCCATTGGGATTAATTTCCACTGGGACACAACCGTGCAAAGCTAGCAGCTTAACCTGAAGAGGCATACAGCTAAGCACTGGTTAAGACAGAGCTGGGTAAATTTCCAACAGTGACCAACTCCTCGCTCCACCTGTGCCCACTGTCTGGGGACCTGCACCTACAGCTGCACATCTGCCTGCCCCGTTTGTCCCTTCTCCTTTAGCCTAACATGCATTTCTTCCCCAGCCCAGCCTCAAACCATCACAGAAAGCATCCTTTCTTGCCTATTTCCTTGTCCCTTTGATTAGCTGTAGAAGACACCCAAGAGAGCCTCAGAGAAGCCACTGAAAAACAGCAAGATGAACACCGTTACATTCACAGAACCAGAATACAAGGAGAGACTAGCAGGAAAAATGCATTAAAATTTCCCCAAATGGACCCTACTGAAGCAAGTACTCTTCACACCTAGCTTTCACGTGGGATCCCAGGCTACCATGCATTACATGTTACTGAACTTACTACAATAAGCATCACCCGTATCTCGCTTGCTGTCACATTTAAAGCCCACAGCAAGCAATTACTCCTTAGCCACATTTTTCAGCAATCTTCCTGCTGCAGTGAGAGCAGCCGGAGTGGCTGAGTGCAGAGTGGCAGGGGAAGGTATTTCTTCCTCTGCAGAACAACACGGGGATGCTCTGAAACAACAGACATGGAAAAAACAAGCCTTCCCTCGGGTTCTGCACAGCAAGCCATCCTTCTCCACCAGCGTCAAACAGCACATCCTTCTCAGCACCTCTGAATGCAAGTACAGCACTAAATAATTGCTTTTCATCCCTTCAGCTGAGAAATCAAGGCACTACATCTTTGTTTGCAAAGATGAACACACAGAAAAAAAATGTATCTTGAATACATATGCAATTAACTGTTTGCAAAGATTATTTTAAGGCCTCCACACATTTGATTTGAATGCTCAGTTATCTAAGCTTTATTTTTTGTCTGCTCTGTACTTAAAACGCGTTACTTAGAAACTCCATCAGTATTTGTCACACTTGGGCATATTTTTGCTGTTGCTAATAGTACTTTCTCCCTCTCTCTCTTTTTTTTTTATGCTGGCAGTCACAGGTTGTTAAAACAAACTAGAACTTCAAAAGCCACTTTCTTCTTTCCTTGCCTACATGCAAAGCCCTCGTTTAGGCAGGGGAAAACACAGTGTTCTCCACATGAAGTGAAAATAAACGTGTACAAGAACACCTACCCGAGCTGCTTTCCTCTGCTGGTCCTGCTGCCAAATTCATCCAGGGTCAACCTCACGCCACCTTCCACAGAAAGGCTCATGCCTTCATGCAAGTCAGCTTCCTCATCAAATTGCTCCTCAATAAAAATACCTGAGATTCCTCCCTCGATAACACGGTGCTCAATGCCAACTGCCTTAAGATCCCTGCATACTTTGACAGCCAGCTCACCAAAGATAGGGAAGAAATGAAAGGAAGCCTGACATTACTCTTCTGCTTTTGGGCAATCTTCTCACACTTCTCTCTCTTCTCCCTGCACTGCTTCTCAGTTCCTGTCAAAGCCAAATACTGCAACTCCTTCTCAGTATTTAAACATGCACTTGTATGCCTGCAGTTTTATTCATGTTGTCCACTTTGTCACAGGCTAAAGAAATGCATTATAGCAAGTTGAGCCAATTAAGATTAACATATAAGAATTTTCCTGGTGATCCTATATGAACAGGAATCAGTAGGAGATGATACTGCATGCTCATATAATCAGACAATAACATCCCACAACATAGAATCAGAGTCACAGAAGGGTTTGGGTTGGAAGGGACCTTAAAGACCATTTAGCTGCAACCCCCCTGCCATGGGCAGGGACACCTCCCACCAGCCCAGGCTGCCCAAAGCCCCATCCAGCCTGGCCTCGAGCACCTCCAGGGATGGGGCAGCCACAGCTTCTCTGGGCAGCCTGTGCCAGTGCCTCACCACCCTCAATAGGGAAGAATTTCTTCCTAATATCTAATCTAAATGTACCCTCTTTGAGTTTAAAGCCAATCCCCCTTGTCCTGTCACTACACTCCCTGACCAAGAGTCCCTCCCCAGCTTTCCTGCAGGCCCCCTTTAGGTACTAGAAGGCCGCTGTACCAAGAACTGGCACATGAAAGCAGTCTTTAGTCATTTAAAAAATGTCACTGAAGTCCGTTAGACAGGCCTAAAAAGAACAAGAGCAAAAACAGATATAAAAAAAATCTCATTACAAACAAGAGGGTGTGTAGAAATTGAGTATCTTCCTTTGGTGTGAAAATCGACTGTTCTAATAAATACAGTGAGATTGAACAGCATGATCCTAAAGTGCAGGCCAATTATGTCATGACAGAGCTCAAGGAAAAAAAATGGGGATAAAAAAAAAAAAAAAGAGGGAGCTGGAGAGATGTGTACACTAAGAGAAATAACAGGTTAACAGGGAAGCGACAGTAGGTACGTGATAGACATGACTGACCTGGCAGGAAATTACTGCTCCAGTTTATCCAGAATCACATTTGAGACCAATCTCACACTTAGATTTGCGCTCAGGGCACCAAGACAAATGAAGTTTGTTGATGACTCAGAAGTAGCATACATCAATAGAGGAGAAAGATCAGAAAAATCCTACAAAGAACTGAATTATCTTTACAACTGCTGCAACAAAAACGCAATGGAGCAATAGGACAAAGTACACAGACATGCACTAAGGCATAATAGGAATTTCTCCTAAAAGCTTGAGGCTTGTTAGTGAGGAATAACCATGGGATAAAAGGGCCTTAGTATATGACATGATAAGAGAGATGTTAAGTGTTGAACATGAAGATAATTGTAGCTTTAGGATGTATAAAATGAGGTATTAATGGCATCGAGCGTGAGACTTTCTGGCACGCTGCAAACACAGATGACCAGATTACACAAGAAAGATTACTTCAAAGAGAAGTACAGAGAGGAACTGTGCTCTCCTGTTATTAGATTTCAAAAATCCAGTTTTATGATAAGACAATGGGAATATAGCTTGTTGAGGCAAAGGAAAACAAGCTGGTAGGGATCAGCCTCTGACAGATATGTCAGAGTAGGTACCAAGAAACCTGCTCTAGTTAAGAACCAACATTGGCACAAATTGATCTTAAATGGGCCATGAATTAGTTTAGGCTGGAAACCAACATTTGTTTCCAGCTGCTGGAGGAAGAAAGCTCACAAACAGCCTTCCAGTAAAAATAATAAAGGCAAAACAAAAAAAAAAAGGAACTTTTAAATGTAGCCTTGATTTCATTTCTAAATGCAATTAGATGATAATCCAGAAGGCAGAGAGCAATCTCATTGATTTAGCTCTGTCTTTATACAGGTGCATGAACATACAGAAGAGAAAGCATTTTCAGGCATCCCAGGACTTTTGACAGGTACTGAAGTTTTCATTCATTTTAACCCCATTCTGCATGTAAGTGAATTACAGAGCCAGGACCATTAGGAGATCGCTGCTAAAGGACTCTGTATCAGTACAAGCAATGAAACATCTCCACTGAGACACTATTTTGGTGGAACAGTAACAAAAGGGTTTCAACTCAGGGGAAACTCCAGTCACTACCATGATTCAAGCTCAAAAGCAAATGCACACTGTGGACAGGGCGGCACAGAAGATGTTTTACTTCAATCCCCTTTAGCGTTTATCAGGAGCAGCATCACCTTACTGCACAGAATGAAGGTGACCTCTGTTCTGTTTGGACAAGCATTGTGTTACTACTTTCAAGTACTTTTTGTTGGAGGGAGGGCTTTTTGGTTGGCTGGTTGGGTAGTTTCTTTGCTAGAACAAGAGAAAAGCTCGGCCAGCATCTGGATTCCCGTACACGCAGGAACACAGCTACGTGTCGGCACTGTCATTATGTACATGGAAGTCTGACACGTCACTTTGAACTCTCGCTTCAAAAGCACTGAAAGGTTTCAAGATGCCAAAGTTAGCAGCATTCCTCAGGTGCACTTTTGTTCCACTCCTCCAAGAGCGGTATCAACCCCAGCACCGCATCGGTGCACTTTATTGGTCGCATACATCACGCTTCGTTTGGTGACAGGAAGCCTGTGCAGCAACAGGCACATCTCAATTTCAGGACTTATATTAACAGAAGAGAGGAAACGTGTCAGCTATTTTAAATAAAAATCTGTACTTTGACCCATTCTTGATAAATCCTGAAAGTAAAACCTGGGTGTTGCATGAGAACTGCGTTATTTGTCACTTGTAATTGAAAGGTTTTATGGATTAAAACCTCCAAACACTTTCTAACTTTTGATGAGCTTCATGATGTGCAATATTGATGGCAAAAGGGCAGCAGTGGGAGCAAGACCCTAGCACGCAGAGAGCTGCTCCTTTGTCCTCCCTCTGCCAGCCACGCAGAGCTTTATTCCCCTGCTTTTGATCCCCACGCAACAGGCTGCTGCCAGACATTAACTCCCCTGTCAATCCTTCACCGCAGGGATAAAAGTAAGCGCCGAGGGATTTTTACAGCAACTCCGTCAGGCGAGCAAAAAAGAAGTTTTCACAATTTTACCTAGCTGCGGGCACGAGCGCTCCCAGCACCCACTGACCAGCTAACCGAGCTGCCCGAGGGCTGCGGGGAGGGCTTGGAGCTGCCCAAACCCTCACCTCAGTTACCCAAACCCTCACCTCAGTTACCCAAACCCTCACCTCAGCTGCCCAAACCCCGGACCCAGCCGCCCCCCGTTGTCCTTCTGAGGCACCTCGCGGGGGGCACCCCTCACCCAAATCCCACCCCCACCGCCTCCGGGGGGCTCCCCCTTCCCCCCTAAACCGGGCCAGCCCCCGGGGGGCAGCGGCTGGGAGGTGGGGAGCCGCGAAGAGCCCCCGGGGCTGGCCCCGGCCGCCGAGGAGGGGGCGCCCCCGACCCCCTCCCCCCCCCCACATCCCCTCAGCCCCCTCAGCCCCTGCCCCTGGCGGCGGGGCCGGGCGGCCCCGTGCGGAGCGGCGGCCGGGGGGCGGCGGCGGGGGCGGGCCGGGGCCGGGGCCGGGGCCGTGCTGCTCGGTACCGGGCCGAGCCGCCCGCCCCTCCCTCACCTGGTTGAGCTCGTTCTCGGCCGCGATGCGCAGCTTGGGGTCTATGGTGCCCTTGAGCGCCTGGATGATCCTGTTGGGGTCCATGTCGGCCCGCTGCTCGCTCGCTCGCTCGCGTCTCCCACCCCCCCCGCGGCTCCTTTCTCCGCGGGCGGGAGGAGGGAGCGGGGCCGCCGCCGCCGCCGCCGCCGCCCCCCCCCGCACCGCGACCGCGACCGCGACCGAGCTGGCGTCCCCCGCCCCCCGCCGCCGCTCACAGCCATTCACCGGTTTGCGACAGCTGGGCATCGGGAAGCGGGCGCTGCTTTACGGCCGCCGCGCCGCCTTCTGGCTTCGCGCGGGGAGGGCGCCGCCATGTTGTTGTACGGACGGAAGCCAGATGGGGCAGCCCGCAGCCGGGCACGCAGGGGGCCGCCATGTTGCGGTACGGTCCCCACAGGGGCCGCACAACAAAGCAGTGGTTGAAAAGAGCCAGATGCTAGGGTGACTACAGGATCCTGCCATAGCAGCACGTAGTAGACAGCCTTAAGAGCACAATTTAACAGCATGGCATTTGTTCGCTGCAATTACAGCATGAAATGCCGTTTCTCATGACTGCTCCTCGATAAAGAAGAAGTACATCCCTCGACTGGGGAAGCACTGCCTGACCCACACTAAAAAATATTCTAAACACTGGTGAACACACAGGAGAACTGGTTAAAGTAGGGATACCAATATCTAACAATGTTTATTTTATGGTTGCCAAAGCGCTTTTATTGCCCCTAAATAACTTAAGTTCTGAACTAGTTACAAGGAAAATGCTGAAACATCTGATACTGTAAGGATTTCAAAGGAAAATAAATAAATAAATAAATAAATAAAAGTTTATTGATATATCTGCCTAGAATCAAAGAAGAAGCTACCTGTAAGAATGAGTTACACCAAGGAAGCATTCATACAATCAGATGCTGCTCTTGTGATACTCTTCACGCGAAGTGGTGTAGAACACCTGATCGGTGTTGCTCAAGAACTTTCTGTTCTCCAGTAATGCATCTAACTACAGCATCTAACAAGAAATTGTAGGTACTTTCAACCTTCTCATTTCTTCTTCGAAGCAGGGGAGAGTGTGATCAGTAATTATAGAATATATCAAACAAAACCAATGTGATTGTAAAAAGCATGTATTATTAACTATGGGAATTATTCATCATTTTGGCATTTTGTTTAAGATAGTAAATAAGACTACTACAATGAAAACTGCCCCTTTTAAAGATTTTGAATTATTTATCACACTAAAACAAACAAACAAACAAACAAACTAGAATGTTACAGCTCTACTTCCTTTTCCAAAATAGGCATGTTATGAATAGTTTAAAAGTAGTTCTGATTTATTCTGTTTCTGTGTATTCATCCATGGTACAAGAACTTATATGTGTAAAGGACTTCAGTCTTGTGGAGCTGGTAATGTAAAACGTACCAATGAACAAAATATGCTCAAACGTTATTACAACATTCTCTGAAAATATTTTTCAGATTTTTTTACGCTTACTGCTCATAAGCTATTTAAAACTGAACACTTTACCACACAACATTCACTAGGATAAAAAAAAAAAAAAAAAAAAAAAAAAAAAAAAAAAAAAAGGAAAGACTTTACACCTAAGATTTCACCTTTTAGACACAGTTTTTGTGCCCACAGCTATCAATGAGGCAATGCCCCAAGCCTCTAAATCAAGTGACATCCAGTTCAATACTGCTTGGTTCCTTTGTAATATGTCAGCAGTGATTTAGTTGCAGATACTATTGTTGCAAACACTGTCATCTACCTGTGCACTGAATTTGATGTATGCCTGATACTTCTTTCTGCAAAACATGAACCATAAAGCAAGTGGCAGTTGTTCTAAAAATGATGTTATTAGTTGAAATGTTCTTAGATAACATTAAGAACTTCAGAGAGCAAGTACCATCTTATATAAATCAAGAACTTAATTTCCTTTTACAATAATGTAGCCCATCAAGTTGATCAATGGAAGCCAGTAGATGTCTTTTTTATTATTATTTTAGTAGAGCTTTCACTACTGTCTCTCACAGCATCCTTCTGGACAAAATGTCCAGCATACAGCTAACAAGTAGATAATACAATGAGTGAACAATTGACTGATGGATTGGGATCAAAGGGTTCTAGTAAATTGGGTTACATCAGGCTGGTGTCCAGTTGCTAGTGGGATTCCCCCAGGCTCCATTTTAGGACCAGTTCTTTTTAATGATTTATAAATGATCTGGATGCAGGACTCATATGCATACTAAGTAAGTTTACAGATGACACTAAATCGAGAGGAACTGTTGACTCCCTTCCTTGAGCATGGAGAGGCCTTGCAGAGAGATCTTGGCAGACTGGAGGGCCAGGCAGTCACCAAGCGCATGAAATTTAAACATGAGCAAGTGCCAGGTTCTGCACTTGGGAAGGGGCAACGCTGGCTGTATGTCTGCACTGGGGGCTGAGAGGCTGGAGAGCAGCCCTGCAGTAAGGAATCTGCCAGCAGTGTGCCCTGGCAGCCAGGAGGGCCAAACATTCCCTGGGTGCATCAGGCACAGCACTGGTTGAGGGAAGGGATTGTCCCGCTCTGCTCTGCGCTGGTGCGGCCTCACCTCGAGTACAGCTCATAGTCTGGGGCACCACAATACAAGGGCATTGAACTACTAGAGAGTGTCCAAAGGAGGGCAACAAAGATGGTGAAGGGTCTAGAGGGCAAGACGTATGAGGAGCAGCTGAGGTCCCTTGGTTTGCTCAGCCCACAGCAGAGCAGGCTGAGGGGAGGCCTCATGGCGACCTGCCGCTCCCTCATGAGGGGAGCGGAGGGGCAGGCGCTGAGCTCTGCTCATCTGGGGACAGCGACAGGACCCGAGGGAACGGCATGGAGCTGGGACAGGGGAGGGTCAGGCTGGGGGTTAGGGAAAGGTTCTGCACCCAGAGGGTGGTCGGACACTGGGACAGGCTGCCCAGTGCAATGGTCACGACACCGAGCTGCCAGAGTTCAAGAAGCATTTGGACAACGCTCTCAGACACGGTCTGGTTTTTGGGTGGTCCTGTAGCCAGGAATTGGACACAATTATTCTTGTGGTTCCCATCCAACACCAGATAGTTTGTGATTCTATAAACTCATGTGCCTTTTTACTATCACAAAGAATCTATTAATATTTTGTGTTTCATCTACTTCAAAATAATGGATCCGGAACTGGGTTACAATGATTAAAAAACATTCTAGTTTTGCTACTCTGAAAAATTTAGGAACATGAGTTCAGATTCTGAGACTTTCTTGGCAACTACTTAACACTTACTGAGAGAAGACCCAATGCAAAAGAGGCAAGGAATATGCAAAGAAATTAAAACCAAATAAATGAAATTCATGTTGCACCAGTGTGCAAATACAGGAAAAAAAAAAAAAAAAAAAAAAAAAGGATGTGAATAAAAGGCTGGTGAAGAGATAAGAGAAAGCAAATATCTTTAAAGCTCCAAAACTCTTTAGGTGCACTGCAACAGCAGTTCCATGAAGAATTTTATATCAAGCAATCATATTTTGAAACTCAGTTGATGAAACCAAATATTTTTAAAATAACACGAGTTTGATCACAGGGGAAATCAGAGTAAGTTCCAGACAGAGTAGCTAAAAAGATAACTTACGTTCAAGATGGGAGATGGAAAGGTAGAAAAGCCTTACATATTATCAGTTACCTAGAATTAACCCTTTGACTTCTGGTTCTTATGAAATGCAGGTAGCATTGTAGGTGACTGGTATGTGTAATGGACTTTCCACTTGCATACAAGAACTGACACCTTATCAGGCTGAGCACATTCTTTAGGAAAACATCTGGTTGTAAATTGTAGTTAATAAGAGATACTCACGGAAAAGTATGAGAAAGGAGACAACAGTCTTTCATCTGATGTGCTGCAAGTGAAAAGCAATCCATTGTTCAATGCTCAATCCATTGTTCATTGTTCATTTACTTCATTGTAGTGAACTAACGACAAAGCAATTAGACCCGTACCTGGCATAAAGCTTTCATTCCAAATCAGCTACAGTCCTTATGCACATAAGACTAAAACAGTACAAAAAACTGTCTGAACTAGTACTCTCCAGCCAAATTAGTACTTCACAACTTATTTTTTTTTTCCAAATACAACAACACAGGGAGATGTTCAGTCAGCAGATACAAATTTATGAACTTTTTCATTAATAGAATTGTTTATAGTTGGGAGGCAATACATCCAAGTTGACCGGAGACCTGTGAACAAGCACGTAGTAGAGTTAATGGTCTGGTTATATACAGTACCAGAGTACAAGACCATTTCTTCGGTTATAATAGACTTCATACCTCACACATATAATATTTATTCTCTCAAAAGACATGTATAGATTAGATAAAGGATGATCTGCAGCAGATAAATGTATGCCAGGCCTCCAGATATAAAGTTTCGATCAGAAGTCACGTCCCAAATCAGTCTCCCCCACTGTTCTGTCAGAGCACCTATAGGTAATTTACAGCAGCCAGGGAGGAAAGGTAAGTAAACCGAACCAGTACAGCAAAAACAGTGAAATTATCTGTACCACCACTGTAGCATACAGTATAGAGGGTTCCTTAGCTGCAGGGAGTTAGTCATGAAAATTCTGGGAGATCATTCATATTTCTCTCACTTCCATAACCTGGAAAAAACACACAGTCACGAGTCTGTTAGTACTTTGAAAACATTAAACAATTCTCCTATTTCACAGTAGTTTCAGTATTTTACTGAAATACCCAAAAGGAAACAGGGAAATCCACTCAGTCCAAATTAAAGCCTAATGTTAATTCCTCATCTTGAATAGTACAGCTTATCTGCAGGAGACTACAGAAAATAACTAAACTGGATAGAATTTAGGTGGTATGAGATTTGCATAGGAAAAACAAGAATGGAAAATTGAAGAACCATGATCTCCCTTTTAATTAGACCTCATTATCATCTTTATATAGTTAAGGCATGTTACTTTCTGTAACACTTCAAGCAACTTAACAACTAAAGGAAAAATGTATTGGTATACATAGTTTTTACATGAAGTCTGTATCACACCCATATTGTGTTATCTCAAATATTTTCAAGTTACGAAGCTCACCTCTTAAACTCTTCATCCAGAAGTACAATTTTGGATCTAGGTATTTAGTCTGGACATACTCAGACTAAAACTGTGTCAGTTGGTAAATAATGCACGAAACACTCTGAAGTATTTTGAGAAGTTTCAAAACAGGT